ACGCATTACACCTTTCACTCATAATGTTTGACCATAATATACGACATGACTCATAACACGATAATGACTCATAATGTACGTCACATAATTCACGATAAATGTCAGCGGCTGACAGTTTTTTTGTCTAAAGAAATCGTTTCACTCTTCTTACCTCGCATTTGGCAGAAATTTTAATAGCCGCGCACAATTTATAGCGTTATAACCAGCACACGCGCAGCAGTACGACACTCCCAATAAGATAGCAAGAAGCTTTATCCACAGATTGCTTGATGTAACATTGGTTCCGCTTCACCCACTACTACTAACGCCACGCCACAACGAAGATTAGTTTCCAAACTGCCCTTGCATAATTTATAATGTGTAATTTGAATCAAAATTTGTGAACTGCGAATATATATTTAAAATGTTTGAAATGTTATAGTAATCATATGGTGTACGATCCGCAGCTTTTCCTTAATTGTTTCTTTCTTGGATGGCCTCACTAGGGACGCTATCTTTGAATTCAGACATTTGATGGGGTGGCGGAAGAAAGTAATGTTTGGAACTACGGCCGGTTTCGGGACAGCCGCCTAAAGGACAGAACAGCTAGTCGGAGGAGGTTAATCTTATACCGTATGATTATCAATTGACTTTGGTTCTAACATATTAAGCAATTTCTGGAAAACGTAAAATTTGTTTCTTCAATATGAAATTAATTAATAGGGCAAAGCAAGCGAAAATGTCTTATGCAGCATTCTAGATGCTCTATTACTTTAGCTTGTTCACAAATGTTTAAACTATGCAATATGGAATTTGTAATGTGTAATCTGAATGTAAAATATTGAAATATGATTATATATTTACAAAGTGTAAAATATGATTTTCTGTCCTGCATATTAAGCGACCGTTGTAGTAGTCAAAATTTTTTTAAATATGAAATTAATTAATAGCAAGAATTTATTAGCAAAGTAAGCGGTATGTCGTATGTATCTTCTCGCTACTCTAATTTTCCACATGTTTCAAAAATGCTTTGAAAAAATTGCAGTGCATAATCTGGAAACGAAGAAGTTAGATTATGAATATGTAGTTAGCATGCGTAAAATACGATTTTATGCTTGACGTATTATAATAATCTACATATCTGTTTTATGTAATATACTTTACTACAGCTTAGGTGATAAAAGCTGTGAGATGACAGCGGAACAACTACCTGTCTTCTGGTTTACATTATTTTACTGTAACGTATCTGAAAGGTTCTTATTTTCAAGTGTGTGTGTGTGTGTATAATATCAAGAGTGGTAAACTATCTAACAGAAAGGTACAAATTAAAAACCATTTGAAGGTCATACCTTGTCAGTTTCATATATATACCGTATTTGACGGCATATTAGACGCACTCTTATTTAGAAGGCCACACACATGTAGATGTAGAAAAAGTTATGTGTGTCTAGACCTTTATCCAGGTTAAAAATAGCATTCAGTATTGAAAGTTAACCTGTGTCCTTCACGTATAAGACGCAGGTAACTTTTTTTAGACCAAATTTAGGAAAAAAAGTGCGTCTTATATGCCGTCAAATACGGTATATATATATTGTCTAATTGGTCAAAAAAGCATGAAAATAATAAAATGCTATTATAAAAAAACTAGTAAAGGCAACCTATTCCAAAATCCCCAGATGAATCAACGTTGTGTGAAAACTAAATTCATTGAAACTAAATTGCCATAGATTTGCTCGGACCTTACCCTAGAACAAAAATAAATAAAAATAGATATTTGTTAACAATTGTAGACAATTTTTCAAAATGGGTAGAAATAGTCCCTCTTAAACGAGCTTCAGCTAAAATAGTCGCAGATTCGTTTTTTAAATAAGTATATTTTAAAATACGAGGCCCCACTACAAGTAATATCAGATAATGGAAAACAGTTAGTTAGCAGTATATTTAAAAATTTGTGCACAGGGCTTGGCATACCCCATCTAAAAATGGTACCATATAGACCGCAATCGAATATTGCGGAACGCGTAAATAAGAATATTGTAAAAATTATCAGGGGGATACGTTAAGAATTACTATGACCGCTGGGACAGCTGTGTCAATGAGTTAGGTTTTTGCCTTGAAAACAGCAAAGCACGATACTACACAGAAGACCCTCGCGCAGTTATTTTTAGGAAGAAAAATTCTGACGCCTTTGGATAAGCTGTTCTTTGTACAGAAAAGGTAAGAAGAATTCAAGTTAAACGACATACAGAAAATTAGTGATGAAGCAATTAAGAACTCTGATGTAGCAAGGCAGAAGCAGAAAATTTATTATGATAGAATTAGAAGGGAAATGGAATATAAAGTGGAACAGAAAGTACTCAAGTTGAAACATTCATTATCATCCGCACCCGAAAATAGGGTGGCAAAATTTGAACCCAGGTTTGAAGGCCCGTACATAGTTGAGAGAATATGTGAGGCCACTTTTTATTTAAAGGCCGAAAATGGCCAACAACTGGTTGCAAATATTGACCAAATAAACCTTTATTACAGCCGTAATGATTTTCAAGTTTTACAGGATTTATTACAGGATCCTGGAAGGAGGAAAGAATTCCGCCAGCTCAAAAGCCCAACTGAAGTACCCCAACACAAAAAAGGAAACAGACGGATCAATCACCGGCCAAGCGGATCCAACCCGGAAAAGGTCCAGGCTCAAAGAAACGGAGGAAGAATATTAAAAGAAAGCTAAGCCGGAAAATTAAAGTGCAAGAGCATGCGCATTTAACATTTAATAAGTAAATATCTCTTTTTGATTTCGAGAAATTGTTCGAACAATCTTGCGCGTGATTTAAAAAACTTATAAAAATGATTAAAACCTCTCAATTCTGTTAGCTTGTTGTTTTAAGAGTTTGTTTAGAAAATTGCTCTTGTTGGCTGTAGCAGATTCGTGGATTAGCTTTTTCTACCTGTTTTGAATTAAGTTCGGTTGAACGTTTGAATAGTTAAAAGATAACTACTGTGAGATATTGTACTACTGAACGAACGTCTGAGGAAATTTAAGCATTTTGTTTTATTGTTGTAATAATAATAAATTTTGTTCATTTTTTTTTTTCATCGGACTTGTGCATTCAATTCATAACGAACCCGTACGCACGCAACAATATATTTATATTATAAATAAAATAGCAAGAAATTTAGAACCGAAGAATTAAAAAAATATGCCCAAAAGTTGAACAACAACAGCACTAAACTAGGATGAAGAGGCACCCAGACCTGGCACTGTTCGAGGCATTCTTACTCGGTTAATCGCCCCGACGCCTAGAGGAGTCCAAGGAGGCACAACAGCAGGACATTTTTTTTTTTCTTATCAGACAAGAAAATGAAATTCCAATTAACTTCATTAGCAGTCTAGTTAAAAAGCTGGAGTGGTCTACACCCCTATAAATTTTTCAAAATAATGAAATCTTTTTCATCTCTAAGCTCAAATAAGACGAGGATGAAGAAGGATGTTTAAGAATTTATAGCGTAATTTTTAAATATATAGTATTGCACAGTTTTTCTTGACTGTACTTTTATTAAGAGGGCCTACTCTATTCTAAGTTGTTATGATAAGCCCATGGCGCAAAAATTTTATTTTTTTCTAACATTAGTTGTTTTTTCTTGCCTACTAGCATTACTTTAATGATTTTCAAATTTAAAAATAAAAAATAACTCTTTACTATAGATTCACCTTTTGGGAGATTTCAAACTTTCCATCTCCAATTTGTATCGCCAACAGCGCCAAACAGGCAAACATTAACGTCTACTTTTCCCTTTTGGATTACCATCCTTTGTCCTTTTATTTTTCAGTACAGTAAGTTCAAAACTTTTGTTATCTGTTAATTTTTAATATATTTTGCAAAATTTTACGTTTTATTTGAATTTTAATATTAGTAAACTGTGTATATATTGTCTTTGTTTTATTGAGCATTAAATTTATTTCATTTAAATTTGTTTTTATATATTTTTGTTTCACATGAAACGAGGGCTACTGTGTCGAGGAGGCATTCGGAATTTTGGGATGAACTGTTGTAATGAAGTAATACAAAATGGTTCTAATTTTGGATGAATAGAAGCACAGTTGTTTTTCTGGGAAGAAAGAATCAATTGAATCTGATCTAACTGATCTTGATAACGTTGAGTCAGATTTTAATTGCATTCCTTTTCCTATTTAATATATTTCTGTTGTTTTCGGGATTTCTTCTGGTTTAAAAACATTGAGTTAATGGTTTTTTAACATTTTATTGGGAAATTGTGGGATTTCATTGGCTTTAAATTTCATTTCCTTCATGTCTTTGTGGATTATCTAAATTTCTCACTATTTTCTCTATAACTGACATTTATTTATTTTTATGGATTTTTTTTTCAAAACGTTTGTTTTATGAAATATCTCTTGAATGATTAGCAGTACATGCATGATTCCAATTTATGAAAAAAAAGAAATTAAAGTAGGTATTCAGATTTCAAAAACTTTGGTCACAAGACAACTTTTAGTTTTAAAAATTCATATAGGTCCTCTTGGTAAAGCCATAAAAAATATTGTGTTATGAAAAACTTACACTGAGAATATTGTCAACCTTCTTTAACTTAAAAGCACAAATCTACAAACTAGAAACATTTTTATGTGATTATTTGTTATGGAATTGACGGGTTCCATTTAGCTATTTGAATACGAAATAGTACACAAAAGCTATTTGCAAAAAGAGAGGGATTCCTTAGTAGACGATGTTTTAGCGAAAACTAGCTGGCATTTACATTATAAATGTTGTATGTGGCCAATCCGTTCCTTAGATTTTGAATCTGATGATGAAATCGACGTCTGTTGGAGGACTCTAGCAGTAGTGGAGTATTTAGCGGTAAAGCCCTTTTAGGAACTATAACTTATATCTAAAATTTCACTAAATATACAGTTTTCCAAAGTAAATCATATCTGAATATGCTTTTCTGGTATTTTTCCATTAAAATATACACAAAGATCCTTGAAACATATTTAACATGTTACTTACAAGGTCGGCAAATCAACACTAAGCTGTTCCATTTTCTTTTTGTAATGTGCGGCAGTACAAGCAATTAGCCCGGAAACCAAAAGTATTCCACAGCAGACGGCTGTTATAAACGAAGGACTTATAAAAGCTTCCTGTGTGCTGAGCTCAGTAGAACCTGGAGGCAGAAAAAGGTGAACTAATGTCTTGTAAATTTATTTTACAACAAATTTCTCAGGAGATAATTTCATGGCAGTACTTAACAGTAAACAAAGGAATATATACTAAAACATAATACCGTTACATTTTAAACATACGACTACTTAAATATGGCTTACAGATACCTTTTAACTTTAAGCAATGAATACGATGCGCATTCCACAACAGACCACTGGAGATTGTTTTCTCTTATTATATTGGAATTTATTATCCCTCCTCTTTACCTTTTTACACAGAGACGGCATTTTTACACTGAGATGCTTAGACAACCGACCATTCCGAGAGTCCTTGAATTGGACAGATTTTCAAATTAATTGGAAAAGAACTATAAATTAACCCCCCCCGAATTTGCATGAGTTATCCTTATTAAACATGTTTCGGTACAAATAGTTGATTGTCCATCCTTTCATGATCCGCCTGTGATAAGGGCCTTAGGAGTTGTGTGACTATCAAAATTAATAGCAAAGCTAACTGCCCATAATGGAAGCCATTTGTTACTGTCGTAGAATAGTAGACTCAATCAGAATTCAAAGTTCAGCATTTGTTACGGCTTTTTAGTCACTCCCAGCAATACTCGAATCAGAAGCAGTTTTTTCAATGGTGGTATACTCTGACATTAATACACTGGTTTCCAAAATTTAAGGGGAAAAATCACAAAAATAGCGATAATCCTTCAAAACAGGACAATCCATATAAAATTCGAATATGTTATCAAGTAAGAATTGCTGTGTTTGTGGTGACAGAAGACACAGACGGCAACAGGGAGTCAGTCGGAGTGCGGAGTTGCAATACGAGCGGATAATCCACTATATAACAAAGCGCCGAACCGTAGCGGTTGCAAAGTCATCATGGTCAATGTTATCACTTGTTTCTCTGCACTAGCGGAAACTGTCTTGATGATTTTAGTTTCCATGGTCGTATGTATGTATACATCATGCTGTTATCATTTCTTCATTCATACATCATAGTTTTCGACAAAGAGGAAGTAAAGCCGACACAGAGTGTTCTTCATTTACACTCTGTGTTCTCCGTCTGCATGCTTTCTACTACGTATCTCATTCAATATAAAAATTAGTTTTAACATTTTTTCCCCTGAGGCATGACGCTGTTATTAATTTCTTACAAGTATGAGGCGCTTTTCTTGCTCAAGTATTAAATAGCATTAAAGAATTTCTTGGAAATGATTGCAAGAAAAAATATTTTATAGTATTATTTAGAATAAGAAGAAAAAATTAAGAAAAAAATATTTTATTCCCAAATAAACTAAGAACAAGAGCTCCATTACTTCCATTGAAACCTCATTTCAAAAAGGATAATGCAAAATTAATATTGGGAATGTTCTTTGCTTCTCGTATTGTATTATTCAGAATAAAATGCACGAAAATTTAAAAAAATTATTTTTATTGTGTTTATTTTTGTACTGTTAACTCTTCTACACACGGGTCATCAGACTTTGAAAGAAAACCTCATTTTATAATTATAAATCATTGATAATTATAACCACATTTGAAAATTATAACTTTTCAGCTAGTGACTAGATTTACCAGAAATTTATTTGCTTTATGCCTTAGTATAATAACTTGGATACATGTATAAAAGCTGCCTACATTGTACATGTAAAATACATAAGAGTTTATGTTTCTTAAATTTTAATACCTAGCTAGTATAAAGACTTATCTTTACATGTTGTACGTGGAATTCATATAAATCATTCTTGAAGCATAGCTTTAAAACGTATTCCAGCATCTTTATTTAATATGAGATACTTTAGTACCCAAGTTAGCTTGAATAAGCATAGTGTTTGTAATATAATTTTAAGAACTAATATGTAGAATAGAATAATTTTAGCTAATTACGCTTTATATGCGCATTCATAACAAACATTCTCTTTCTGGTCTAGTATATAAACTAGGTCCCCTTTTTTTTTTATTGAAAATGCATTCGTATGAATAAAAAAAATACTAAAGAATTTTTAAGATATTACTTAATGCACTCAATAAAAGACTTACTTATATCAACATTACATCCAGTTACGGGATCGCAAGAAGTACCGGAGGCACAGTCACAGACTCTCATGCAGTCCTGACCATAAAATCCTACTGGACAAGCTGTAATATCATATTCCAGTTACGAATAAATTGCCAGTAAAGTTTGTCAGAAAATTAATCAGAACAGAATGCTAAACCTTAAATTATTTTCTATCACTAAAAAGAATAGTTGAAAACCATTTAATAAAGGCGGATTTCAAATTTCATATCTAAATGACAGGATGTCAAACCATATAAAGTTTTGGTACAACTCCGATATACGCCCTAATTTCACCAAATGTGGCGATATGTGTTTTGAGCTGGTTTTGGCTCGATTGCGTGTTCTATGGCAACCCTGTTGACGTTGAAAAATCTTTCTTTGGAGCTCGTTGATTTGCGTCTGTGTCTGAGAAGATGGGAAGGAAAGATAAAATGGTAGTTGTTGAATTGAAGTTCGGCAAAAGGAAATATCATTGTGGCCATCGTTGAGTGGTAGTGGGTATTTGGAGGTGTGGAAAGAGGGTCTGGGAGATTATTTTTAATGGCTGTGCATGATAGAAGTAGGGATTTGTGATTTTATTTTGTTTGTGAACCATAGTATGAATTTTCTGGAGTGTGTCTGGCTGTCATGTAAATACGATAGTGATTACGTAGCGGCATGTTAAAGGCGGTATGAAATTGGTATTCTGCTGTTGGAAAAAGCATTAATTCATGGTAAGTGCATTTTATTTTATTCTTGTTCTTATTTTGTAGAATGTTATGTTCATTGGTTCTTTAGTATGAATTTCTGTCGTTATTGTTGTTTTTGAAACAAACGCTGTGTACATGGTATTATTTGAAATTTATTGTTATGTTATTTTATTAAAGCGAGGTGTGCGTAGATCGTAGATTCGTTCCTTGCCTAAAATTGTGCAATTCGTAGATGTTTTTTTAAGTTTAAACAGGATGCTGTGTACATGGTATTCTTTGAAATTTATTGTCGCGGGCTATCTGCCTAAGGGGAGGGATGCCTTCGTGGAGGACTTTCTAAGGAAAACTGGCTCGTATACACGTTACACATGGGGAAAACCACGAAAACGCCCATGCAGCCAGCCCGTTCGCGGGATTCGAACCTCGGACCGAACTACCAGTGTTCAGCGAGTTTACCGCTCGGCCGCTGGTGGGCCTCCAGATATTTTAAATCCATTTTTATAAGTGTGTTGACAAGCCTGTTTGAAATCTATTTCAATCACAGATAACCGTATTTGTTGCATACTACAGACTTTTAGCAGCAATTGTTTAATTGTTGCAAAGTTGTGTGGTTGAAACAAATTTAATCTGTTTTTTAAAAGCAATAAATTTTGTAGAAATTGTGTATAATATATTTTAGATAAGCCCAAAAAACTTTTTTTTTTGGAACCTTTGGTTAAAAATTGTTCGATTAAACCAAATAACGTGAAGTTCTGTTTTAAACGGTTTGAACAGAACTAAAATTCAGACGGAGGTCTGGATAAGATGAGTTCCGGTAATTTAATTTTAACTATTTGTCATAATTTAGTTATAGATTTTTTTATTTATCTCAATTTTACTCGTATTTATTATTATTATTTTTTTTTTTTTTTCAACTTTCCGTACGGGCTTTCAGAGTTTCGTCAATTACGATTTTCGAAACTAAACACTAGATTTGAATTTAATACTTGCGTACTTATATACAGTTTCTAATCTTAATAGCTAGTTGTTTGAAGTGATAACTTAGCAAAAAAATGCATAGGGGTTGGTAATCATTTACACAAACAGAGCCAAATGTTGAAGATTACTTGGTAGAATGACTACGATGAAAATCAAAAGCAATTACCTTCTGCACATGTCGTTCCGATCCATCCTGGCTGACAGAAACAAAGTCCATTGTTTGGTTGGCAGGTTGCTCCGTTGTAGCAATTGCATGTCTGTTGACAGTAAAACCCGTATGTTCCGTTCATGCATGCTGCTCAAAAATTTAAAACAATTCAGTGTAGATAAAATTCTCGTATATATGTATCAAATAATAGATACGATTTTAGTACGTAATCGCAGATAGAAATATTTCTTATTTACCATTTTATGATTTTAGGGTTAATAATGTACAGAAAAAGTGCAAGATAATGGAGATAAAAACGCAATACGAGAGGCACTCAGTAAATTCTAGGCCTAAGAACGATATAATACTTGCTAAATGATGAAAGGTGGGGGCAAAGTGCACGCAGCAGATGTTATTTGATTTTTAAAAGGTTTTTAAATATTTTCATTCAGTGATACCTATTATTAAAAACATCAAACATCGTTTGGAGATTTAGCTCTTTATAAAAGAAAGCAGAACACTGACAAATATTCACAGGCTGCAGTCTATAGTTATACAGTACTTTCCACCTCAAAACTGGCCTGCTGAGTTTAGACAACGGACAACGTCACTCAAAGTTTATTCTAAACCAGGCTGCATTGTGGATATGCCCACGGTAGAAATGCATGCTAACTTCGAGGAATATATGATAGAGAATAGACGAGGCACAATTTCTCACAGCGCTGCGGAAGTTGGTATTAGTATTGGTTCAGTGCAAGAAAATCTTATGTGAAAAGGTGTTAATACAGAAATTCTGCGCGAGATGTGATGAGTCCGCTCGAAATGAATATCCAGAATTTTGAAATGAAGAAACACCGGGTCGAGTAGAAGTGCGTTCCATGATAAATACAGATAAAAGTTTATTTGTGGCTAATGACATATGAAACAATATTTCCTCATTGCAATCCAGAATCGTAGAATGAAACATGGAAGTACAACGGATCTTCCTAACACCACAAGTTCAGAACCCAGAAACCTGCCATGAAGATTTTGGGCACCATTTCGAAGGATGAGAAGGCACTATTGTAGAATATTAGGTTAACTGTTAAGTTAATCTAATGATTCTTCTAAGCCATAAAGGTAAAACTTTATACAAAGTAATTTCCGAACAACTGTCAACTTGAACATTACTGTTTTCATTCAGCTGACGCTCTGCCAACTTTCCAGTGCGACCAAATAAATTCTGCCAATAATACTTAAATATTTACCGTAATAGCAAAAGTGGCACATTGAGCGTTTCTAAAATATGCAAAACTTAGTGAGATTGCCCCTAATGTGTAGTAAAATTTGGTATCAGTTACGTAGCTCATTTGTTTTAAAATGTTTCATGGACTTGCATAACACATAAGCCGGTTCTTATCGCAAGCAAGTCAGTTCGTCAGACTGGTGAAGAAAAAGCAGTACTTACGAATTGAGCAGTCATCCCCCATCCACCCTGGTAAGCAGTGACAGTGACCATTTGTCTGGTTACAAGTGGCTCCATGATCACATATGCAGTTTTCTTTACAATCAACTCCCCAGCGTCCTTTCGGGCATCCTTAAAACAAACAAACAAAAAAGAAAATACAAATCTGGGCTAATATTAGAATTTTATAACTAACTTCTCATTTTGAAAAAAAAAAGGCAATTTTTGTGGCTTCTAAGATTTACAAAAATTATCCAAACGTACACTTTTCAGTGAAAGATTTAGATCCAAACAGGTGTAAAAAAAAAAAACTAAGCCGAAAGTTCTATCACCGCTAAATTCAGCAAAGAGGAATTGCTTGAGGAATAGGAGATTTACGGCAAATGTAAAGTGCAGTCCGCCAGCGGCCGAGCGTTAATGTCGCTAAACATTAGTAGCTCGGTTCGGGACTCGAATCCTTGCGAACGGACTCGCTGCATGGGCGCTTTCGTAGCTTTTTCAACGTGTAATATACATACGAGCAAGTTTCTCTTAAAAGTTCCACCACGGGGTATCTCTCCCTTTGCGCATACCACTGTGTGCGTCGCTGCAATCAAATAAAACAACATGTTAAGTTAAACAACATTTTTGCGGTTTTGCAGCTGAAGATGATGGTTCGGTAAAACCATCGAAACTAGTCCTGTGAAAATTTTGTAGGTATAACGCTGATTTTTGTTGTTTGACTTCTGAATTAGTAACATGTTAAGTGTTGCAAAAAACAATATACCAACGGGATCAGCAAAATCTTTACCACGTTACGTTGCCTAATACGAGATTTTCGAATGTTTTAGATCACTATCTATGCAAGCAGACCTCGCCGATTACTTAAGTTTTGTATAGATATAATTTTGTTTATTTTTTTATTTTACTATTTCATGGAAATAAAGCTCGTGAGAGATTTCAAATTATGAATTCAGAGCGATCTGTTCCATCGGCATCAACATAGGCAAAAAATTCTATAATCTCCATACATATTCAAGTCCAAACTTCTACAATATCCGTATACATATATCCATGGCCTGTTACTATTACTTAAGTCCTGTCTTCGACTGAAACTTTAATAGGTGAAATGAACATAATGGTCTGAAAACAATCCTGCAGAATTAAGACATAGATTGCTTAGCTTATCCGAACCATAGGGTTTTACATTTTCACACATGGGTTTCATCTTCGTTATGACTTGCACGGCACTCCTCTAGCAATAATGCAGATTTAGTCAGACGAGTAACTGACGCCAAACACGTGGGGCAAAAAGATTGTGGTATTATCACGATATCAAAACCACAGCTTTGTGTTGATGACCGTAATTTTCAGTGTACAGTTTGAACTAATTTGCTTCCAAAAATTTAAAAATGATAAAACTGAATGAAAATTATATCAGTAAAAAGTATAAGTTGTAGTCTATAAGCTTTGTTTATTTCTTATGTACATTAGAAATGAGTAGTTTTTTTTTTTATTAATTAAGAAAGCTGAGCACAGAAGTCCATATTTCTCCAAACACTTTTTTTTTTTATTATTATCTTTAATTTTTCTAAGAGTTTTCTTGTGATAAACGGAAAATACTTATACTAATCAAGAAATTCTTTTCGATAGTATTTTTTTTTTTTTTTAAATTTTGTTTTCTTGGAAAAAAGTGTCAAACCCTGCATTACTTAAATGTTTAAAATGTATTTTTTCCTAATTTCCTATTTTGTTTCAGAACAACAGTTGTATAAAAATTTTAGTTTGCCATTTTTATATAGCAAATTCTCTGGTGCATCACTATACCTTAATCTCGTGCATCATACTTTACTTTTGCGACTAAAAGTATATATGTAGGATCAATACTTAAAAAATGTGCTTTCTTTGATTCTAAAGTACTGTTTAAAAGTATTTCCAAAAGTTCCAAAAGGGCTGTCTGAAGGTCGTACTTTATGCGTTTGCTACTTAATAAACTACGGAAATTTTCAAGTAGCATAAATACAAGAAAAAGCTATTGCGTAGCATCTTAAAAATTAAGAATTATGTTTGCATTGTTTTCACAGGACTTTGAGCTGAATCTGTCTAAAATAAACAGGAAACCTCAATTAGGAATTTTATTTTTAAACTAAATGCACTTTGAAAGTTCGCAGAATCATTGCTGTCGTAATAACAATACGTTGATGTTTTTTCAAAATAGAGAAAGTTGCTGAATAAATGTGGGTACTATTCTGTTTTGAGGGCCGTAAAAAAATTGCAACGAAAATGTATGCGCAAAAGCGCCAAATGTAGCAAACGCGCCCATTTAACAGCGTGCCAAATCTAGCATACGCACTGATTTCAGATTGCGTAAGTTTATATAGTTCTATATTTAAAGTCTAATCATACGACATTGAAATACTAGTTTAATTTTTAAATCCTTTTTTATTTATTATTATTATTTATTATTATTTTTTGATATATGGATTTAACAATTTGGGAATTGCCCATGACGAAAAGTCGCCAATAGAATTTCGGTAAAGTGCAGAATCATCCACTGCTTGACGCGTTTTCAAGAACTGCACATACTCAGTATCCATGTGCACATCGACCTATTTTCACTTAAAAAAAATCCTAGAATTGCACAAAAGTGGCATTGCGCACACCCTTGACTTTATCTATGTACACATCGAGCTATTTTCACTTAAAAAGTAAAAGAAAATTGACAAAAATCCAATTGTTTTTACCCTTGCAAAAAGCGGCGAACAAAGTAAGGGAGCGATTCTGCACTTTACCGAGAATATTTTCAAAGAAAAGGCATCATTCATTATAGAAAATTACGTTTGAACAACCAACGAGATGTGTGTGTGTATTTTATTATGGCAAAGCACACTAGGGCTATCTGCCTAAGGAGAGGGATACCTTCGTGGAGGACTTTCTAAGGGAAGCTGGCTCGTATACACGTTACACATGGGGGAAAACCATGAAAACATCCATGCAGCCAGCCCGTTCGCGGGATTCGAACCTCGTACCGAACTACCAGTGTTCAGCGACTTTATCGCTCGGCCGCTGGTGGGCCCAACCAACGAGATTAAATTATGCTTTAGCGATAAGTCGGTAGCGAAATAGCGATGCAGGCATCCATTCAGTTATGTTTAGCAATTTTTATATAAATTATAATAATGATCTGAAATAGTTTATTGTTTTGCTTCCATTCAGTCATGTTTAGCCTTTTTCATATAAATTATAATAATAAAAAAGTATATGAAATTAACCTTTCAACTAAATTAAAACATCAATCGTAGTTATTTACTATTATACTTCCTTTCTTTCCCCAATTATTTTTGGCAGCATTGGCATCAACAATAGTTTGGCGATTTTTTACGGCCCTCGAAACCTAATATGTACCTAAATATGTAAGATTATTTCAAAGCTAATCAACTGTCTGCTAAATTTCTTTACAAAAGAACTATTTTCTTTCATCACTCGGATATAAGGCGACTTTAAGTAGCGTGGAATAATTTAGTAATATGGTATACATTTTTTAGTAACGTGGAACTTAAGAGTTAACTGCATGGTATGCAGAGAAATTTACAGTTACTTTCAAGATATTTGGTTAAAGCTATATATTCGATGAACAGGACTTTTAATATCTGTACTCCCGTGTTCTTTAATGAGATACACCAATTATAGAGAAGTTATTTTCAAACACTCCTGTATATAATTTTGAAGGACAGCTCACTGTGGAGACGAAACAGTGTGGCTGGAAGCTTAGTGCGTGATCTGACAAGCAACTAAACGAACTGCTCTTAACCATGCGCAACAATGCAACAATAGTAGAAACAATCTATATACTGAATTTTTTTCTATTAAAGTTCAGTGGCCGTCTTATTCCTGTGGTGACCTGACATACTAATAACCTCATCATACCAAGACAATCTATGGTCCGAATAACAGTTATTTGAATAGAAGAGTGGTACAACTAGCAGCTGATAGTAGGGTCCACACCAGACATACAACCAGAGACACGGATAAAATTTTGACCAGTATTTTGAAACTTGGTTGTAAATTTTGCCTTTAAACATTTTAAGAATGTTGAATGTGTTGATCTTCTGGCTTATGAAAAGAATTTAATTATCCTTTCAAAAGCTTGTACAAAATGTGAAGTATGAGATTTGTTAGAACGTCTTTGATAAACGGTAAAAGCCCATAAACTACCAGTATCGGATAGCAGCTATGCCTATAAGTCTGGGATGTGGACACTGTACTCCCTGCCTAAAAATGCTTGGCCAAGCTATCAAGACTGCTTCACAGATAAAGCATTTTGGCCTTATTAATAATGAACGCTCATCATGGCTGCAACATATTAGACACATCAAAGTTAGACTATTAGTCAAATGTCATGCTTAAAGCTTCATCGATGATTCACCGAAACATTACTTCCAACTAGTATACAATATATATTATTTGCTAGCTTCCACAGTCAGGCAGCTGCTCAATCGGCGGCGAAAAGAAGAAAAATTCTGCAAATGATTTCAAGAAGTTCACGAAAAACATGAAGGTTGTGTAAAACGTTTTTCGAGATAAAACGGGAGCATAGGGCAAAGATGCTTTCAGAGCGCAGTTGTACATTTTAATGTGAAGTTTGAATTCACTTGTATATGTAACTTACTTTTTTCACATCGACTTCCCATGTAACCAGGAAGACAGCTGCATTGTCCTGTAAAAGGATCACAGGGTCCATCACCATATAAGCAATACGGACACTGTTGTTCACATTGTAAACCATATGTTCCAGGTGGACATTCTATTGGAAAAAGAAATTATATTAGACCGGAATGAAAATAAACGAAAGTTTATCATGTCAAAGGGAATGTAACATAATTTGCAACTAAATTGTTTTAACACTGCATATTAAACATAGAGCTTTTAACGTTTTGGTTGATCTTTACATTATGGTAACTTGGCGATTTTTTGGCGAAAATTTGGCAACCAACACTCCTACAGCAACCCCCTATTTTTTTTCCCCGCCGCCATTTTGTCTTCACGAAGTAAAGACATGTTTCTTTTCTTTTTATCTACTGAACACTTCTTCCAACAATCTACTAGCCGAATTACACTTATGCTAGAAATTTTATCAAACAAAACTGTTTAATCATGACAAATATTCACTGCAAAATTGGACAATACCATACTCCTTACGCGTTTTTCAAAATAACACATACACATAAACCATGTACACGCCGACTTATTTTTACTTAAAAAAACATCCCAGAATTGCACAAAAATGGCATTGCGCACACTCTTCACTATATCCATGTACACTGCTTTTTTCTCATAAATTAGAAAAATTTCACGAAAATACATGACAATTTTCTCAATCTTTAAACCCGATAAAAAGAACATATATGAAATTACCTGATCGCGAAAAAGTATTTACCCTTTACAAATATGAACATTTCCACATATAAAACAATTAAATTTCCAAAAACTTTTACCTCTAAATCATCTATTACATTATACACGTCACCAACGAATTCATACCACAAGCATTACAAATACTTAGTATCAAATATTTAAATTATTTCCATGCACGTTTATTTCAACTTAAACGTATACCAAATTCCTACAAACATAAAATTCACAAAATAATATCATTTCATTAAAATATAATTAAATTCAAAAACACTACTTAAAATATAAATGAGCACATACATTAAATTAATAAAAATTACGTTACAATCCTAATTACTTTAAACTAAATCATTGCTAATAACAATTTTCCCATAAACCAAATTCCTTTCCACCTTACATTTAGAACAATGCATAAAAATAATATCCTCAAATAATTAAAAATACTAACTTACCTAATCTTCTTCAGAATCTTGATTACGTGGCGGATACACTTTTCTAATTCATTCAATAAAATTATTGAAGATTTTTTTCTGCGAATTTTTCCTCCATACTTCCTCCGCTAAATAAAAAGCAAACTTCTCTTTATCACATGCCTAAATACCCATTTCGAATTCACTTAGTTAGGGCCATGGGATCCAAAAATTAAACAACACTGTTTCACACAACACAAAATAAAACTAAATACAAAATTTCCACATTTTTTCCCGATTTCCCCCCCCTTTTCCGATTAAAGAACCGTAATTCGTCCATTAATATCACATGACATATCCCATGATTTCTCATTTCCCTCACGCAAAATAATGCGTAATCGGAACCGAGTACTGCTCACATTATTACCAAAGTCCCAGGTAGTAACATTTATCGCCTCCAAAATGTCGCCAATCTACCAGTTACCATATTGTAAAGATCAACCAATGTTTTTTTTTTAAATGTTTGATACTTATAGAAATATTCCATTTACCTTGATTAGTGGTTGTATTGACTACAGCAGTATTTAAAACTATATATTCAATAAAGTTGCAGCAAGAAGCTAAAAGGTTTTTGCTTTGAAATGCCTTGCCACTAATGTTGCCTAGAAAGAAAAATCTGAATATTTTTTAATCTAATAATAAAATTTTAGTGAAATGTTAGAGTTTAACAAAATCTCAAACTGTGTAAAAACTACAACTTTTAAGTAATACTGACTGAATTCGTTTTCGATAATGGGCGAATCATTTCTGTACACAGCATTATGAAACATTCTAACCAAAATGCAATATTCGGGAAAGTTTGTCTACTTTGCTTACTTTGAGAGCAGTCCGCACCTGTCCACCCTCTTCCACAAATGCATTCTCCGGTTAAATGGTGACATGTACCATTATTCTTACAGTGGCATTCCATTATGCAGTTTTTGCCCCAAGTGTGAGGATCACATTGCATCTCGCATCTCTGTCCTGATAGAAAAAAAAAGCAAAAAATGATATTTTTGGATACTGTGTTGTGGTTTACTATTATAATACCCAATTCAGTGATACTTTTATCAAACTACTAAGATATAGAGAGCAATAATTTTAAACTTTAACTTGCCTCGCCATCCCGGAGCGCAAATACAATGCCCATTTATATGATTACAGCGTGCAGTAGTATGTTGATTGCAGTTGCAGACATAACTGCAGTTATGACCGTAGAATCCCACCTAAAAAGCAATAAGAATTTGAATTATTAGGAAAAGAGATTTGCAAGAACTAGTATATTTCTTCAAGCTTTTAGGAAAACCAGCACAAAGCGCTGATAAAGATTATTATAGATTTAGTTTTAGTTTAGTTTAGTTATTATAGATTTAGAAGGACATATTCAAATCAGGCATTTATATACTTATGGGTCTAATAGGTCGCATAAGCATTAAGAATGAGCAGAATGAAATATGATTTAGTTTATGATAAAGTAGAAGTTATTTGTTATATTCTTTAAGGGCGGGCTAGTTAAAGTAAAGCCTTTACTACACTTTGATTTTACAACTTTTAAACAGACTTTGATTGGTTTGGTTTATTTAACTATGGCAAAGAACTTTAGGGCTATCTAAGTCCTTGGTCTAGTGCTATAAACTGTTAGTACTCTACTGAAAGATTCACGGTTCGAGCCCTGGCGAGGACACAGTTGACTTTTTACCTTTCTTGGTTCTAAGAACTAAACGCTTTCCAGAGTAAGAAGACCCAGATGTGGTATTAGGACCAGGAGTTCGCGGAATCACTCGGAAAAAAAGGATTGTACGAATATAAATTACTAGGAAACTTTGGAACGTGACATCTTCTGCAGGGTAACTAGACAAAAGCGCACGCGAGAACAGCCCACAGGAAAAAACCCTCTGTGACAAGTGCCCATGCGAAAAATACCTACATCGTTGAAAGCACACAGTGATGAAAGCCTACATTGGTAAAAGCCCACATTAATATAAGCAAAACTTTTTTGTTCCTTTTCACTCCATACTGAGATGAAATTTCATCCATTTGTATTACAAAAACTGTCTTTTGCTAAGTTCTATCACATCTTAGAGTTGTGATCATTAACTGTATTATTTGCTGCATACAGCAAATTACCGTTGCAACGTGAGAGGCTGCATACCAAAATGATCCTGAATTTGTGAGATATGTTTTAAGTAGCGTTCCTTCCATCAATTGACAGAAAGTGAAGAAAACGTCTGTCTACAATGGAAAACATTCAGAAAAATTAAACCTCTTAAAACGGCTGGTAGTAACAACGATGCAGCAACATCGACAAGAATTGTGGAAGCTTTGGAAATGACGAATAGTTCGAGGCGATAAATAGAGTCTGGCTTTTATTGTTGTATACTGTTCTCCAATTTTGGGATTACAGACATTATCTTTATTTCTCTAATTATAATCCTGTCATCATCCAATATGATCAAATGTGAAGTCATATTTATAATTCCTTCTATATAAATATAATATATAAAATTATATATGAGAGGGAAAATTAATACCTTGCACATTTCTTTACACTGTAGGCCTGTGTATCCGGGTAGACATTCACATTTACCGGTAAATGCATTGCAGTTGGAAGCATGCAAACAATCACACTTGTTTGAGCAATTAGGTCCAAAATATCCTTGAGGACAGAATTCTTCACAATGTTCCCCAAAATAGCCTTTAAAGAAAGTAGAAAATTTTAGTTACCTAAATAGTTGACTTATGAACGTATCTGCTTGGCAGTAAGCTCGATAGTTAAGGATTTACCAGGTGGACAAACACAAGGTCCTGTCGTAGGTAGACAAGTAGCACCATTATGGCATTGGCATTTATAAGCACAAAGCTTACCGTACCATCCAGTAGGACAAGGCAGGTGACATCTGTTGATAGGTAAAGACAACAATTTAAAGCGGTGTCATTAAATTTTTGTCATTTATTTCAAGTAAGTTAAATTTACCAAATTTTTTTTATTTAGAACTTTAGATAATATGTATTAGGAATAAGGACAAGAACATATTTACTCTTTTCCAAAATAACCTGGATGACAAATACAGATTCCATTGACAGGATCGCAAGTAGCATTGTTGCTACAGTTACATTTTTCTCTGCAGTTTGAGCCAAAAGTTGAATCATGGCAGCGTTGGTCACAATGTTGTCCAGTGTATCCAGGAAGGCATTCACATTTACCGGTTATTGCATCGCATTTTGCAGAATTCCTGCAGTCACAAGTCTTAGCGCATTTCGGACCAAATGAACCCGCTGGACAATTGCTTTCGCAGAATTTCCCAGAATACCCTGTTTAAAATAAAATGCCCAAATTTAAATTTTATTTTTAACACACTTATATACGTAATTGGACGATTTAAAAGTAGAAAATTCTTATCTTAAACTATAGAAAACATTACGAAATTGTGGGTGATTTAAATGAATGGAGTGATTCAAAGTGTTTCTAGAGTAGTGTTTTCAAATACTGAATTTATTACAGTTGTATCCGCGTCAAAAACAGAGCTCTCCTCCTCACTGAAAACGTAAAGTCCTTAAATGCACGCCAAGTGAACTGAATCGTATTATTCTGAAATTTAGTAGCTGAAGGATGCTCAAGAGTATCCTCTTCCTAAAATAGTCACAACTATGAACATCTATGCAAAATGCACTTTTACAGCTGAAGAATTGCAAAATGGACATGTGCAGCTGAAGAAGAAAATTCTATATTTAACCTGCTAAAAATTGGTCCTGGAAATTTATATATATGACACTGATTCTTGTTGCTTTAATTCCTCCAATAATCGTTATTCGGCTTGTTATTTCAAGTCATATCTACATGCTGGATTCGGACCAATGTAACGAAACATGAAGTTTCAAATGGACACTGGGGAAACTTTTAACTCCTACCAACTCTTTACTCCAAGTTCTCATCTACAGCCGGCCTCTCGTATTAGCGCGTTTCTTTGCTGACTATCAGCTTCATGACCAGGGCCAACGCTGAACATTTTGTAGCCTAATGGAAACTCGGAGACTCCGAAATTTTGTCGCCTAGTTCATTCTTAGATTCGGAAAACTTTACCGCCCTTAAATTCTGCCACCAGGTGTGTGAACGCATCGGTTGCTCTGCCTCTGACACCGGCCCGCTTTATGACTGTACATAAACGGTGTTTCATATTGAAAGGGACAAATAGAATAGCCTAGTATAGATTCTGTAACTGATTTATTAACCGAAACAAATTCATTCTGAAATTACAATTATACAAGTTTTATCAGGCAACAGCGAAAAATCTTCCGCTTACGAAATCGCGGCTAGAAGCACTGTTAATCAAAATGTCGCCATCCATGCAACAGAAAACATATCGCGTTTTGGAATACACCAAAACATCACCGTTTATCATCGCTCAAAGTCATTTTCTCAGGAAATTTGGTAGAGAACCACTGCATCGTCACAATATCGAACGGTGGGTGAAGCTGTTTCAGGATACGGGCTGCTTGTGTAAGAAAACCAGCCCAGGACGAGAAGCAGCCAAAACCAAAATCAATGAAAAGTTCGTTAAACGTTTTTATGAAGCCCCAAAATCAACGCGTTGCGCGAGTTCTGAAATCATTGTGCCTCATGTAACGGTATGGCGAGTGTTGCGGAAACGTCTACAATTGCGACCGCACACCTTTCAGATGGTTCAAGCATTAAAACCTTCCGAAAAACCGTTGCGTAAGGCTTTCTGTGAGAATTTGCAATATTATTTGGAGGTAGATAGTTTCACGAACAGACTTGTTTACACATGAAGCAGCCAAATGCCAGAGTTAATTGATAGCTTATGGCAAGGTTAATTGACATAACTTACGATTTTGGGGTTCGGAAAATCCACATGGTGTAAATGAACATGAGCGGGAATCTCCAAACGTGAATGTTTTCTGGGCCATTTCTAACAGTTCTGTTTTGGGCTCTTTTTTTCTTTTTGGAAAACTCGATTAACGGGTGCATTTACCAAGATATGCTCCAGAATGGTTGTTCCGTTAGTTACCGGAAGCGGTTCTCTGCTTCATTCTGCAGTAAGATGGTACTCCACCACACTGGCATAAAAACATACTCTAGTATACCTGAACGGTAGTCTACCCCATCGCTGGTTTGGCCGTGCTGGGTCAAATGATATGTCATTGCTTTGGTGGCTACCGAGATTCCCTGCTGTAACGCTTGTGAATTTTTCTTATGGGGTCTTGCTAGCGTTTGTTCCTCCATTTCCCAAGGACTAATAGCAACTGAAGCAGAAGAAAGCTGAAGTGCTCGGATCATTAACAAAGGATATTCCATCACGAGTGTGGCAGGAGCTGGAATACCGCATAGATATGTGCCGTCTTTAATACATAAACAGATGTATATGTCTGCGTGCTAATTAGTAGAACTGCGAATGCATGCATTCCAAATACAGTTTCTATATTGGCCATTCGAATGCGATAGGAAAGACCGAATTTAGTTTAAATATTCTAAATACCTTTTCCACTGTAAGATAGATTTAAATGCAGTTAAGTACTTCAAATAAAGCATTTGCTGTAATGCCTACTAAATTGTAAACACATGTCGGGAATTAAATATAGTTGTTGCTTCACTTTTTACATGAAAATGGCTACCAGTGAAGTCAAACCTTAATGTTTAAATTAAAAAAAAAAAAGTAAAAATGCAAAAGATTGAAAAATCGTAATGAAAATAAGATCATCTTAAGATGATCCTGATGGTGCTAAATAAACCTTGAAACACTAAATCTTGAAACCTTGAATCCCCAACTACAAATTGCCACTTTAAATAGGAACTTCCTTAATCGAAAATTCTGTACTAAATTTATGCCTAACTACAATTCTATACCAGTTATTTTCAAAAATATTTCTTACAATGCACAGACGTTCTATTAGGGTTATGGATTGAGAAGAAAAAAATTCAAACTGAGAAAAGAGACAGTATTTTAAAATTGCAATAAATAAACTCTTATATCAATCGTATAAATAAAATATAAGAAATGCACAATCGGTGGTAACAAAATACTTTGTATTATATTATGTGGGCAACTCTGTATTAATGGCACTTACGCATTATCGCAATCACCTTAACAGAAATCGCCAAAGCTTCAGAATACACCAGACTCTGACAACCGTGCGCATAACAATTATGCAGACGACCATTAGCATGACAGATATTCAATTTTCAACGTCGCCATTTCGTGTGGGTTATATTCCAAGTTCCAAGAATTTTTGTTATATTCCAAGTTGCAACGACTTTTATAGAAATATTATGATAATTTTTTGTTTTAAACTCAATTTTAAAACTTGTACCTGTAGTATTTCCTATAAAAGAAGAAAGAGAGCTGAAATTTCTGTAGGAATGTATTATTTTGTCGCAAAATTGCTAAAGGAGCAATGCTTCGAATTTTTTCTCAAAGCGATCACTACGAAATTTCCACCACAGCAAAAACAACAAACCGTTTGTAACTAAATTTACTGATTGTCTTTGGAATAAATGTATGATTGAAACGTAGAATATGTATGTAACAATATGCATTATATGCATGTAATACATAACGTTTTAGAGTAAAAGTAATTGCTTGTTTTCTTTCGTAAAATTCCTCAAACTGCGCCAAGGCAGTTTGGATAATACCTAAGTATCGTATTAGTTATGCATCGTCTTTTATTCTTAATTTTATAAATTTTCGTAACAAACAAAATTCTACTATTAGGTGGAAAATGATTCTACTCGAAGAACTGCCTAACAAGAGATGAGTGTTTTAAAATGCTGTGCAGAAATGGTGATTTATTGCAAAATATTTAGCGGCATATTAGATGATATTTTTTATAAACACTTTACTCAGACTAGTGCTATGGAGAAAGAATGTTTTCAGTGTAGTGTAGATTCTGAAACTTCTCTTCCTTGTCTTAACACAATGTTATCTTCTGTATGGAATTCTGAATATTTTTAAAAATAATTTTTATTAAAAGGCATAAAATTAGTGTAAAAACTTCACCCACCTGGTAGACAAATGCATGCTCCGGTTGTGTGCAGACAGTCTGCATTATTCATGCATTCACACTTCCTTGAACACATTGGACCATATGTCCCAGGGTTGCATATTTCTTCACATCTGCGTGAATATCATAATTTTTAATTAAAACACTGCATCGACATGTATAGGAAAAACATGCTAAAATAATTTTTAAATGAATTTCCTTTTCACGAATAATTGAGGAATAACTTAAACTGAGACAAATGCTCATAACTTCTTTACCACTTATTATTATTTATTTCTACATAGTTCATATCATCTTTCTGGTTTTATATTAGTTTTCTATAAAGTATGGATTAACTTGATTATGTTAATGAAGAGTTAAATTTATGCGTATCCATATTCAGTATCACGTAATAATTAGTGCTGTCAGATATCTGCCTTGAAAAAAATTTACACAAATTTCTAAGTTGTTATCTGAGCTCTAAATTTGGTCATTACGAAAAGGTTATTGATTTTCCTTCCAAGGTAATAATAGTATAAATTTAGAGATCTAAAAAATTTTATTCTTCATCCAGTTTGAGAACAATCCCGTGAATTCATTTCAAAACCTCCACGCTAAAGATTTTTTTAGTAAAACTTCGTTAAGAAGGCTGGGACCAATTTCAGCAATTTTTTTTTTTTTCATTTTATCAAGACGAACAGTATTGTCAATGGAACCTCAGAGCCGCATTCAGCTAAGAGTGTCAGAAAAGAGTGATTTCGAAACACGTTCAACAAGCCGAAGTCCTCACTTCTGACGTCTGGAGAAGTAACACATTTCCAGTGTATCACTTTGCTGTATGCAAATTTCCAGTGACAAGAAGCGGCAGCGACGGTGTTGCTGCTGGTTGGTTGATGAAGATTCAATAAAAAGCCAGCCAAAGCAAACATTGTTCTTTAAAAGTGTCGCATTCTCAATGTTTCAAATTTTTACCGTGAAGGACTTCGTGAAAGCTGTGGCAGAACGAGGAACTGGTAGATGTGCATCTAATGGATGATCAAGCAAATGGGAACAGACGCGAAGCACAATTGTACTGTTAGTGACTTCCGATGCGTTGAATTCCTTATCATTTTACCTTCGTCACTGTTGGCAGAAGACTACATGAAACCTGCTAGTTCGCTATCTTAGAGAAATGCGGGACTTAAGCGTAGTGCGCGGACGTTGGAAAGGAAAGATTGCATCTTGTAGATTTCTAGTAATTCTTTCTACAGGTAAGCGGGCGATAACATCCTTCATTATTTTTGTGTCGTAATACGGTGGTGAATGCTGTAAACGAAGCCCATATGCACCCCCATCCACGTGCAGATTGTCTAAGCAAAGGAGATGACTGTCCCTGCCAGTTAAAGTTTCGGAACTGGATGCTCCATACAACAATTAAAATTTCGCAGATTTCTGCGTTAGTATTATTCAGTAAAGAGGCCTTATTTACCCGGGAAGGCATTTCCAGTACTCGGAATGGATTCATCTGGGCTAAAAGCAATCTCCAGAGCCTTACTCCTTGTAAACACCAGCAAAGATTTGTCATCAAAATCTGATCATGTAGCTTTGACGCAGGAGTCTTAGTACAGAGGTTCTCAAGACCTGGCGGTCCATAAAATTTTAAGGGGAATCGGTGATGATCAAGAGGTTAACAGGCGAATCGGCATAATTGAGATCCGATTGATTACAAAATTAATTCATTAATAAAATTTATAATTACTAATCTGTCAAAATGACGAATTTTATCCTTTGGTTGAAACAACGTCCTTTGGTCCTGAATTGTAGGGAGTTCTAAAATGTTAAATAACTTTAACATTTTAGTACTTTATTGAGCCTTCTGTACTTTAATGAGCTGACTGAGTTTAATTTACCGAGTCTTAAAATTTTCAATTAGCTAGGAAAGACGAATCTTCTACAGTAGTGTTAACAACATTGAAAATTCAAAATTTGCGATTCCGCGCGTGCGACGTGCATGATTAACTACATAAAACGCTTCTAATAACTAACATAAAAAACTTTAAAATTGGGAGGACTGTAAATAATTTATAGATATTAAGAAATAAAAGAAGATACGGCAGCTGAGGAAAATTTAAAGACATACGTATCATGAAAGAAGAGCAGGAAATAAATATGCCGTTAGAAAGAAAATTTTTCTTAGATCTTTTGATTTATTTTCAGAAATTTTAAAAAATGATATAAATTTAAAATTAATTTACATAGGGAAACTGCTGTGAATTTAGCTTACAAATCAGTACGCGAATGCAATTATATACGACACTAAGACTTCAACATGTTTCAACCATTTTTAAACAACTTCAAACGTTAAAGAGGTTCAGAATTACAATCTTCTCATTGTAAATACACAAAGTTTGAATCTGTCATTAGATAACTTGGGTATTTATAACTCGAATATTGAAAATTGTCATACTTAAGGATTTTAAAATTTTGCAATAACACACGTAAAAACAATTGATTCAAAGCTTTCGTACGAATTCAATAAGCCAAATGAGATGTAAAAGATTACTGTTATATTAATTTGTATTGAAAAATTACATCAGTTTTTAATTCAAGAACTTGAAAAATCAATATTATAATTTATAAAGCCCGCATGTTTAATAAACTGAAATTGTTAAATGCTACAAAAAATACAAACATAATGACACTTCTCTAATGCGACCACCATCGGTTTTCAGGCGATATGGGCCCTTATGGAGATGGCTGCCTCAGAGAGGCCATGAACAAAAGCCTGTTTATTTATGTTGTAAGGATTATGTTAATTTTATTAACAGTTAAATTTTAAGTTAAAGTTCTTTTCCTGTCAAATTCTTAACTTCAACTTACTACTTCCGGCCAGAACGTAGTTTTGGAATCTTGCTGAATATTTAATGAGAAGGAGCGGTATTTAAACCACGAAGTAAGTTACAGAGGCAAAGAGAATAAGAGGTTCTTATTTACGCGCGTCTGCCTTTTTGGCCACTCTCTCTTCAAAGCTGTTATTACGCTCGCTGTACTCAGGCCCCTTACGAGCTTCGTATCAATAAGTTAAGGGGGCCAACTCATTTGAACTTGATAGCTTCGGCTATACTTCTTTGTTAATCTTAGTTTTAATTTATTCTTAGTCTTTTAATTTCAAGCCCAAGTGCGGGCTTTGCTTGTACACTCCCAGGTGGAGTTTTGTTCAATCTTATTGAAATAATAAAGGGTTAGTTACCCTTCTATCTTGTTGTTTCTTGTCACCGAACGCAAGCAATTATTCGCTTATCAGTTCTTAGATTCTTCGCTTCCAACATTAACTTAGAATTCCAAAGTGAGGAACTCTACAATGTTATAGTAAATACTTTTAAAGTTCGTCATCATGAGCTTCTCTTTTCTTGATATGTAAAATAGTTATAAATACAGTGTGTTGACATATTTTGGCTTCTAAAATCATGTCGAAAATTTTAAAAAGAGGATCCATCAGAAAAGTTCCTGAAATCGTTAATTTAAAGCAGGTTAACACAGTTTCTGATAACTAAAACTTTCAAAGTATTCAGAAACTATAGTATAATTGCATGGTCATGAAATTGGATTATTTAGGTTATGGCAAAGCACTCTAAGACTATGTGCCTAAGGGGATATGGATGCCTTCGTGGAGGAGTGTTTACAGTGGGGAAAGGATACGAAAAATATTTCACAGGCCATAAATATTCCCATGTAGTCACGCCATCAGCCAGGGTTTGAACGCCATCTATCTACCAATATTCAACAATTTTTACCCTCCCTTTGCTAGTGGTCGAAGATCATCAAAGCTATTCTCTGAATTTCAAAACTGCATTATCATAACTGTAAAAAACATAGAATGCGAGATGCTCCAGGCTTGCAGCAGAACATTATTAATTGTAAGGAATATGTTTCAATTAATCCAGAAAATGCTAAAACCTAACCTACTCTGCTGAATTTTGGAGAGATGGCTGGGAAAATGTCTTAAATTTCTGAGAATTCAGGAATCTTTAGCCTTTTTCCTCAAAACTCTATGAGGGTAACTATTCCAAAAATTTGAATGAGCTAAGACTTTCTGTTCAAAACTAATTTAGCATCTTCGGATGAGGATGAATAGTTTATACTTCAGAGATAATGCAAAAAATACTTCAGAGGTCTGAAAGTAGACAATGGGAAGAGAGAATCTAATACGGGTGTGCACTTTGTCCGCCAAAATAGAAATTTCAAGTTAAATTGTCGTTTAATTATTATACTATTTATAGTCAATTTTCTATTATTTTACGAAACGCATCTAAAATTCTGAAGAGCCTGAAAAATTAGATTTTAGATGCGAAAGACTTGAATTTTACCTGGTTGTAATGACTTACTTTGCTCGTATTTATGAAGAGTGTTAATACATAATTACTTTTGCGAGGCACAGATACTGGATTAAATTGCACAAAGAAAATTAAATAAAATATTTCTTCAGAATATTGTTATGTTCATTGTTTGCGCCAGTGCTGGTACAACCGATGCAGTATAACCTGGCGGCCAGAGTTTAAAGACGCCAAACTTTTTTTTTTAGGAGGCAATGGGTGACAGAATTTAAGAAAAGCAGAGACTGCACCGGTTATATTGTAAATTCAGCCATCATCCTGACTCAGAAAAAATAAATAAAATATTTGCAGTTGAACGGAAACGGGATTAAGCATATTCTGCGCTATTTCACAGGCGATATTACATATACGCACTTTTATTTCTTTCGGGAATTCTGTGATAGGTATCAATGAAATTTATATATGTTGCAATTGTGGTCATTTTCTTAAATGAAAGACGATTTAGAAAATCTCGTATTCCAGCGATCTAAGACTTCACCTCATTCCTATAGTGAAGTATATCTAGGTTTTTCATGTCATTGGTATTGGTCGATATCTGGAAGATGGCATACCATGATTCAAATGGTCACGGAGGTATATCGATCTGGTTCCCAATGATTTTTTTCCTTTGTGCGTATGTTAAAGGTAGTGTTCATGTAAAGACAATCACTGCCTGCAACAATGAAGAAGCTCCAGAACCAGCAGTATGGATATATATATAATGTTTTTGACTAAAATCTGAAAGTTTTACTTCAAGTAGTGCTAATTTTTTAGTTTGAAATGAAATGTTTTGAGACCCGGTGCAACAGTCCTCTATTTGATGTTTGCTGACAGGATTTATGCAACTCCTGTTAACGAATAATGAGATTTCATTGCTGGTTTTGCAACGGATTGCTGTGATGTCTATGGACGCTCTCATATGTAATCCCAGGTAGAATAGGAATGCACCTGGTCATTAGGTATAAATCTTTGGCACGACAGGTAGGAGTTACTACTACGGCCATTTCCTTCCAAATTCGGATCCAAGAAAGCAGTATGGAGATATGACGTGAAGGTCTTGTGTCCCTCTTTCCTTATCACCAGCTCTTAAGCAGACTTTCGAATAGATGGGTTTTAAGTGCCGCCCTTTCGCAAAGCCACTACGGTAACAAACGTCTATGTTTTATCCTGGGTTTAAAAGATAATACATCAGTGTAATAGCTAGGTTTCTAACTATAATATTAATTGACATTTTTAACGAAATTTTATGTAGTAAATGTGATAACGTGGGAAAAAATGTAGTAGAAAGATTTTCACAAAATTCAGTAGATTAAAAAAATATCATACATGAAAGAAATGATAATTGAAGTAGTCACGCTGTAAACTTTTGTTATTAATTTTAACTTTCCCTCTGCGTGTTTGTCTGTATATGAAATTTATAAGTAGATCGATATAATTAGTAATTAGCACATGAAAAATTTTGGAAGCATGTAATTAACTCACTGTTGGCCGAAATATCCAGGACCGCAAATACAAGTGCCATTGATAGGATCGCATCCAGCATCATTGCTGCAGTTGCACGTAAACTGGCAATTCAAGCCATATTGTAAATCAGGACACGGTACCTCACAATTATTACCAGTGTACCCCGGAAGGCATTCACATTCTCCTGTATGAGGATTGCATCCAGATGAATGATGACAAGTACATTTGTTGGAACAATTGTAACCATAAGTGCCAGAAGGACATAAACTCTCGCAATATTTGCCAGTATAACCTAAAGAAAAGTGATAATTTTTGTATGTTTTCTTACACATTTTCAGATAATAAAGAAAGTGAATATAGTTAAGCAATAAAATTTATTAGAATAAATACAGATTATTTTTAATACTTGAAATAGACATTCAAGTCGAAAAGAGATCAAATATTGCTTTTGTTTTGCGATTCCTTGAAAAGAATTTTAGGAATGCATTGCATAGCATAGTTTTAACAACGCAAGTTTTTGTTTAACGAGGTGTTTGTTATTATTCATATATTTACAAATTGGCAATAAGTTTGGTAATGCAAAATTAAAAAAAGTAACGAAATGAAAGCAGTAAATGCACGTATAGATGGGCGTATTTTATAAGTTCGAGTAGAGTATTGGTTGTGATATACAACTAATGCTCGAAAAATAAGCAACAAAGGCAAGATACGGAATAAAACAACTATTTAAAGAATATGCATGAAACTGTTAAAGAGGTTAGTGTGGCATTACTAGACCACATAGAAAACAATAAAGCAAAGACATACAAAAACACATGAATTACAACCATCATATAGCGAAACATAGAGTTCAGAAGCATGGGCAGAGAAAAAAAAATCACGCTAATAACGGATATGATACCCTCTAGCTGAAATGCATGCTTGATAACAATTAGACAAGTTGTCAATAGTGTTTCTGATAGCTTGATGTGGTAGTAGCGCCCATTCTTCTAGTAATACATATCGGAGTTTGTGGAGGGTTCTTGCGACTTGCTATCCGTCATTCCAACGTGTCCCACACGAGATCTAGGGATTCAGTGCCGGTTATCCAGCAGGCTACGGCCAATGTGAAATGCTGTTACTCTCCAAATAACTTTGCACCGCTCGAGGTCCCTGCGGGAGGGCATTATCGTTCATAAGTATCACGTCGATTCACATTTCAGTGATAAAACGACGTACAAAAAGGTAGAATTTCGTCGCGATATCGGACGGCTGTGATGGAACCACCAGGAATCACGCAGAGGTTGGTGCGGCCGTTCGTTGCTATCCTAGCCCATACAAGTAAGCCTCCTGTTTTGCAATGGTCTCTTTTTGACGATGTTTAGCGCCCTATAACGTGTCCCTGGTTGACGTCCTTCAGAAATCGTTCTAGATGTTAAATCGGGACTTATCCGTACAGAGTACGTGGGCCCACTGTTCAGATGTCCAACTGCTATGTTCACGGGTCCAATTTAACTGCCCTGTGACATGCGATGGGGACAAAAGGGCACACACCACATGTCGTCAGATGTAAAGTCCACTTTCATGTAGTCGATGCAACACAGTTTGGCGGGATATGGGCTGTCCTGCAGCAGCAGCGAGATGCGACGCCAGCTATTGTGTTGTTACTGACCTACGTCATCTTTCTTGCACATAGCAACAGGAAGCAACCGTCTGCCGTTGTGGTAATCCTCTGGCGTCCAGATGCATGTCTTCTACAGCTCTTTAGTAACGATTCCACAGCCTATTGGTAACACTACGATGCACATTCAGCTCTCTCGCAACAGCGGATTGTCTTTCACCAGCTTGCAACATCCCAACATCCTTCCAACGCAATTCGTCGTTCAAATGCCGTCTTCGTCTCATAATTTCCGCTTTGCCTATCTCGGATTACACCGAACTATTGCTTCTTGCAAAACTGATGCCTAAGACTGGCATGCCCCTTTTTAAGGCGTTGCGCTGCGACTGTGTTTTATGCTAATTTTGGTTGCCTATTTGCCATTTGGCGATACCACATCTACCTCATATGTAAATTTTATGTTTTAATTCCCATTTTTACTTTCGTACCTTTTCTTTTAGCGTTTGTTGCTTAGTTTTTGTGCACGAGTGTTCAATCCAAGTTCATTTGTTATCAAACTCAGTTTATTCACAGTTTCCTGAGCGATTTTTAACTTCACAGGCAACCTGGATGTTAAATTTTCAGTCATTAATTTTTAAAAATTAGGTGTAATTTTGAACTTTAATTTAAAAAAAGCAGTATCAGAAAAAAGTACTAAAATTATGCGAAAGCATATTTGTCATCAATTTGGGAGTTAAAACTTCAAAAATCTTAAGGATGAAAGTAAATTTAACAAAATTTGTGCCAATACTTTTTTTTGCTTTGTTTTCTGAAGCTTTATTCTCAGTTTAAAAGGATATTCGCGGTTATTTAGTTAATAAAAGTAATTAAAAACATTTTTATTATTTTAAATTTTTTGAGAAGTAAATTCGATTGAAATCCATTGCGAATTCCCCTCGAGCAAAGTAATTTTCCAAAGCACGGATGCTTTTTAGTCCGAAGTAACTACGTTATGCAATATATCCTAGTATTTGGTTTTCAAAAATTGTCATAAAATTTCACATATCTGTCTGATTTTGCCTTTGAACTAAGAGAACTAAAAATAAATTTTAATTCGATGTTCATGTATCATGATACAGCTGATTAAATTTTTAAATTGCAATACAGACAATATTTCTCTTGATGAATGATTGCTTTTATGGCGAGAAAAATTTCATGTTTTCTAAAGTTTTTGCCTTATAGGTATTTACGTTCAGTGTTTTCAGTACCCAAACCTTACATTGATACTTTTTACATTGTTTTACAGAATTCAAGAAAAACAAAGTTAAAATTCTTACCAGATGCACAAATGCATGTTCCTGTTGTATGCAAGCAGTCTGCGTTATTTTGACATTGACATTTGCCAATGCAATTTTTTCCGTATTTTCCTTTTGGACAGATTGATTCGCATCTACAAAAATATGGTAAAAGCTATTATTTCCTCGTTAAAAAGAAACCAAACCAAGATGCATTTGCATTATCCAGCAAATAAAAAAATGAAAATAAAATTATTTTTTGTTATCTTAATATGCATTAATTCATAAAAAAGATGATAGAGACGATTTCCATAAAATTTATGTTCTTTCTTTATATGTAATAATAATAATACGAGCCAGTTACTCTAAGTATGTCCTTAATAAATCCATCCTTTATTTGATAAAATCTTATTTTGCTTAACTAAAAGATTCAATAAACTAACTCTAAAATCTGAAATTAAGTTTCTATATAAATTGTGGCGTGGATTCGCTTAATTTTGTGCTACTTACTCATTAAGTAGAGATAACAATGTCTACATATCGTGACGTTCATATCTTGCTTGCATTGTGACAAAAAAGAAATTTTTTATGATACGCAATTTTAGTTGCAATTCTTAGGACTCTTGGTTAAGAAATGGCTAGAAATAATTAGGTCCTAACTTATCAAAATTACTATGAAATTAATGCCCAGAACATGGTAAGTTTCTCATCTGCTTAACTACTCATCTTATTAAAGTTGAAGAACCACTTTTATACGTTTTCTTTTCCAAGCGTTCGTTAAAAATTCATTAAAAATACAGAAACGCAAAATTTTTAAAACTTTTTTCCAAATATGTGCAGTATTTGTAAACCTTAAAGGATGATAACGGCTTATCATATTCATACACAGTCAATTTCAATTAATGCGCGGTCAAAATGCCTCCGGTTGGACTATATGAATTCGGAAATATAGGCTACTTTATCTTCAGAAAACCCAGGCATGTATGGATACTTCCAGAAAGATAAATAAACATACACTAACATGAGATACAAAACTTATTATCGAATTTCTAAATTTATGTTTTTAATACTTTGTGGAGTCATTAGGTTTTGTTTGAAGCAGAAGAGATGAAAAATGTGTAGTGTCCTCACCAGGGCTCGAACCCTGGACCTCTCGAATACGCGTCGAGATTGTCTCCAATTACACCAAAAAGGCATGCAGAAAGGAGGCAGAAAACACCTTATAACTTGATTAAAAATTTAAATCATTTCGTCTATTTTGCAGAATGATTTTATTATTAAAGGCTACTTCCCGGCTTATAAGCTAAACCTTTCTGAGAACGCTTTGAGGTTCACAAAATTTGGTCGAGTTATAATAGTTTCTGCGGATTTGACTGATATGTAACTATGATTCTTGATGACAATAAAAAATAATAATAGTAGAATATAATACTGGAATAATAATAAAAATATTTTTATACTGTAATAATAGGATGCAGAAACTAGTGCGCTATTTCTCTTAACTCGGACAAACAAATCATAAAAACAAACTCATGTAGAAAGTTTAGGTAAGAGATCGCAAAAATTTTATAAAGCGAGTAATTTTCTTATAATTTAATTGCTTCTGTGTCTTACTTATAGGAAGGGATGTTTTGGAGGCAAGGAATTATACTAACATTAATCGGAATATAATAATGTCAGTGGTATTGGAGAATAAGAGTTTGATTCGCCTTTGAGACATCGTCATAAAAGTAAATACAAACTCACAAACTTCCATCAGAAAAGTTAAAAGTGATGCCGTGGCGCAGGTTGACCATCCGCATTTGTAAAGATGCTGCGTCAGTGCACTTCTTACGACAGTCAGATCAGTTTACATAATCAAAGACAATATTTTTAGATTTTTGATTTAATTTATTCATAAATTTCCCTTTATAATACACCCATTCGCATGTCCAGAACACCGGGATTTAGGTATCCGTAATTTGGGGCCAACTTGGATTGCTATTCTTATTAGAAAGGATGTGAGGACAATTTGCATAGATATATGCATAAAGGACTAGATTAAACAATTTTTTATGTTCATATGATGCCCTATAATTGGGAAAAACTATAGCCTGTTCATAAGATTGCTGCAAATCACTGCTTCTTATTATTCTGAATCGAAGTTATCAGTACTAAAATATCGCATATTTCATTCTCGCTATATAAAAACATGTTGAGCTCAAAGAAATTTTTAAAATTAAAATTTAATCCTAGAAAATTAAATTTTAAATGAAGTTTTATTTAAGTTTCCAGTTTCAGTTTCAGTTTATATCATAAGAACACACCACATTAAACCACACTTACCGTTTTCCGAAATAACCTGCTGCGCAAATGCAAGTACCATCTGTATTGTCACATTCGGAATTATGCCTGCAGTTGCACGAAAAGTGGCAACTATCGCCATAGGTATGAAGAGGGCATATAGATTCACAGTGACGACCGATAAATCCAGGAGGACACTGACATTTTCCATCTGTAGAACTGCAAAGAGATCCATTAACACATTCGCATATCCCGGTGCAGTTTACACCATATCGGCCATGAGGACATAATTCTTCACAATATTTGCCAGAATAACCTGCGAAAGCAGAAAGATCATTTGGTCACCCTTACGGTTATTCTTCGTTATAGATAAAATTATATGGAATATTTTATACTTAAACTGATTTTAAGGAACGATGAATTAAGTGTAACTATTGCTCAGGTGACAAGTGAAATGTATCTGAAGTATAATGGTGAGGTCAATTAGGGCAATAAGTAATCACAAATTACATAGTTTATACTCATAATTCTATCGTAAATATTTAGCATATTTTAATGTAAAAGAACAAGTATTGTTGAAAAATTGTTGACGTTAATGGTTTGATTTTTTATTTACTCTGTTCAAAAAGTTAAATTTACGTGAAAAGGAATTTAAAAGAAAATTTTTCCATTTAATTCCACTGAAGAGATCTGATTGTCTGTTATATATATATATTTATGTACAGTTAGATTCCGCTTAACTCTGTTTAAGAATTACGCTGCTGTATTAGGATTCCTCGAAATTTCATGTGGTATAGGTCGTGCTGGGTTAGTTTACTATTTAAAACTGCAAAAGATCGTTTAACGCTTTTACTGGCTGGTAGCACTAATGAACACTTTAAATTAAAACCCCTACTTGTTTATTATTCCAGAGCTTCAAGAGCTTTGAAAAAGATTTCAAAATCATCTTTACTAACAATTTTGGGAGTCCGATAAAAGACCTTGAATTACTGCAAAAATGTTCAAGAATTGGTTTACCCAACACTTTTTACCCGTCTGTTAAACGCTAGTGCGAATTTAAAAAACCAGAACCGAAAGCTTTACTTTTGATTGATAACGTTGTAATACATCCAACGCATTTGTCAGACTTAACTGCATGCATTCCAGCAGAAGTGGTTTTCCTGTAAACAATCAAGGCAGTTAGGAAGCAGTCAAGACCAAACAACCTGCTAATGAATCAAGGTATAATCTAAGATTTTAAGGCTTGTTATCTGCGGCGGACATTTTGTTAACTGAAAATGCGATGGAGAAGATAAACAATTTACCAGAGACTTTTGGAAAAAACTACAATATCTTGGATGCTGTAAACAGCGTGACTCTTTCCTGGAATGATGTGACTGAGAAATGTTTGAAAGAAATATGGAAGAATGTATGGCCGAACTTAATCAAGGACTTTGACACAACAGAATCCGTTGTTAATGCTCACGAAATTCAAGCTACCTAATGTAACAGGATTGGATAATGGAAATTCTCAGGATAGTGAAGAGTTATCGTAAGTTACAACTGGTGAAAGTATGTCCAACTACGATCTTAAAGACTTGGTAGAAACACAAGTGCATAAAGAGGAAGAAAAAAGCGTTTCTGAAGATGAAGAATAAAAGTAATTTTCAACGGATTTTCTGAAAAAAAAAAAAAAAAGAGTTTAGTTACTATAAACGTACATTTTGGATCAGTTTATACAAAATGTTATGTAGATATATTAGATATATAGATAAAGAATAATTTTCATAGAAGTTCAAAGGTATGATGAAGTGTCATTGACGCGATGTCTTCTTCGAGAACTACTTACTGAATGGAGCAGAAAAAGGGCTAGAGGAACTTCTCCCTTCCGAAAAAAAAGTCAAATGAAGAAAACGTTTCCTCATTACAAAGATTACTTCTTTACTCGAACCTTTTTTGAATTTCACTTAAGTTTTGTAAATATAGATGTTAGCAATAATAAGTCTATAATTAATGTCATAAAAGAGTATTTAACAATAAATTCTCAAAATAATAATAAAAATGATAAATTTTCTTGTTCTCTTCTGTTTCACTTATCCTCAAAATTTACGTATTAAGATGAACATATCACCCGCGTATCAAAAAAGAAATTTAGAACCAATTTTTCACAAAGACTAAAAATTGAAATTCAAATAAACTTCATAAAATCCTATAAATGTAAAATAAGAATAGCTTACAATGTAAGAATTAAAATAAACCATCACATGAAAAACCAAAAAAAGAATAAAAAAGAAAAAGAAAGAAGAGGCATCTAATCAATCTTAACTCAAAACTATGCTAGAACCTAAGATTATTTTGAAATTTCAAAGATTTTTTTTTCACTGTAAGATTTTAATTTTCTCTACATTTTCATTTTTATTTACATTTTAGATTAGAAAAATCTTTAAATTCGAAGATACTTTTAAGGATTTTACTTTAGTTTTGCCTCTTTCCTTCTCTTTGAGGAGGACCAGAATTTTCGGGTGATCTATTAAGATTAAAAAATACATTCATGTCCATAAATTAAGGATAATACCAGCTCCGGCAAATAAAGGCTCAGAAACAAAACAAACGTGACTTATTCATAAAGCCTATTTATTAAACAAAAAAGATGATGTATGTATGAAACCATTCATAAAAGCTACGATTTTTGCTCCCGGGAACAATTCCAAAAAATATCTCCCTTACAGAAACTTAAGATAACACTGGTATGATAGTTAATACATTGTATGTCTCCAAGCCAATGAAATGCAGTCCGTAAAACGCCTAGGCATGGTGAGTATCAAATTATCGAGCTGATCTTAGGGAATATTACTCCATTCAGCAATCAATACTCTCCGAAGTTCCGGTACACTTGTAGGAGATGCTTGACTGCCTGCAATTCGTCGGCTGAGCATTTCCCACACACACTGTATCGGATACAAGTCAGGAGTGAATCCTGACCTTTCCATACGGGTAATATCCTCAGATTGAAGGCATTCCTTTACTATGTTTGCACGATGAGAACGGGCGTTGTCGTCCATAAACACAAGTTCTACGCCCGTGGCACTCCTAAAAAAATGTACATGTTGTTCCAGAATGATGTCCCGATAAATTTGGTCTGTCATGGTTCTGATCTGAACATGAAGATCTCTTCCGAAGCCCAATATAAATCCATCCCAAATGATCAACCCTGCACCACTGTAACGGTGGCGTTCAATGATGTTGTCTTAGTGGTAGCGGACACCTGGCGTTCTCCATATGAAAATCCGACGTGAATCAGCCTGCAAGCTTAACTTGGACTCGTTGGGAAACATCATACATATTTTATTGTATATATATACATATTTTATTGTATATATATACATATAATAAGTTTCTTTCTTTCCATTTAAGTTATGCATTTTTTTAAACTGATGCTTCTTAACAATTAAAATAAAAATAATTCATTTATTACGACATTTTGTTTTGAAACATTATTTTTTGTAGCAAAAATTAAATTGTATTTTTGTTATAATATTGTTAGTAAACCGATAAATTGCATTTCTGTTCAGTATTTTTCTCTAACTGACACTAAGAGTTTTGACTTGATTAGTCAAGTCAAAGCTCTTGGAAGCACCCTTGGAAGAAAATTGAAATTGGCTGATGTCGTGGATGATAGTCTTAGAAAGGGTTCCCTGTAATTACATATATTTATTTATGATATGTAATTTAATTACTTAAATAGGGGATTCAGTGAAGTAACGGGCCATATATTTTGGGCATTATACATTTAAACTAGTTGCGAGGATTGTGTCTAAGACCAATCAAATCTTAAGAAAATGAATGTAAATTCCTAATAGTAACTCTTTTACTCTATGTGATTGGAAAGATTTCCAGAAACGTCTCACCTGAAGGGCAAATACATATCCCAGACGTATGTAAACAGGTGGCTCCATTTCTGCAATTGCATGTGTTTCTACATTGTAAGCCATATGTTCCAATAGGGCAGGTTTCGTCACATCTAAAAACGAGAATATTTGCATCATTATGCCCTTGAATTGTTTCAGTGTGATATGTATATGGTAATAAAAATATTTAATATGCTTTGAAAATCAGTTGTAATGTTCTAAATTTTTTAAATATATGTAAAATAATAACGTTGGCTAATTTGGGTATTTTTTTATTCAGATAACAGCCGGAAAATGTGTTTTTATAAACTTAAAACCAATACCAAGTAGTATTTAATCACAAATTTTCGTGTTAAATTATACTGTAATGACATACTCCGACCAGATTTCAGATATTTAAAATATAGCACCAATGAAGAAATAAAAGAATTGCTTGTTGATAAGCATTATAAATTCCAACTTTACCGCAAGTGCATTTTTCATCTCTCACAACAATGACTGAAAACCTTGCATTCGGAAATAATTTAAAATACTAAGAGTAAGAAACTGCTTTCAATTTCCTACAGAATCAGAATTATATAGAACAACACTTCTCGCACCATGTCACTCAAAAGAATTAAACTCCTAATTCGTTAAGCGGCAGAAAACTGTAACATAAATTACAGAAGGTGTTTACACATTTTAGAACGATTACGATAAAGAATTAAAAAACCAAAGCAAGAGATTAGGATAAAAATTTCTGGCAACAGCTTATTATTTGAAATGAGAAATATCGGCTTCTACTTTCAAATTTATTTTCTTTTAATAACTTCCCACGTAAACAAACTGTGGATTGAAGGATAAGCTTTTGAGCTTTTTGAAGAGAAATATTCCTATCCCATAAATCAATAACTTTATAAAATGCATGTTATTAAATTTTGAAGTGTAAAATAAGCAAAATTATTAAGCAGGAAGTGAAAAACCATCCATCATTACTTTTACATGGAAAGAAGACACCAAACGAATGATCGAAGAAAGGTATATACTGTTTCTAAAGTTAAATCGTTGGTAACAAGAGAAAATCCATTGACGCAGAAATAAATTGCAAAGCCTTTATATACATCTATAGCAACAATTAACAAAATAATAAACCAAGATTTATAACTTAAAAAAGCTAAAAATCACATTGTTCACCGGCTTTTGCTGAGGCATGTAGCTCAACACAGAACAATCTGTAGAACCCTATATGAAAACTATTTGGCAGGAGATAAATGCAAGTACATTATGACCATCGATGAAGCTTGTGTTTACCTAAATGACTGTAACCAAAAGAGATCTATTTATTACCGAAAGTTTCAGTAAGGGGCTTATGGTTGTCACAGGATTTTCTTACAGTGAGAAATTAAAAATAAGAAGAGTGGAAAAAATATCAAAATCAACTTTACTAAGAAAGTTTCACATCCAATATTTCCAGAAGGAAAATTTCATCAAGAGAAATCAACAAGTCATACTTTGAAAAGTATTACTGCATTCCTTGAAAAATGAAGACTGAAACAGATAATGCATATATACCTTTTGAATATATTCCTGCAAAGTCCCCTGACATTTTACCTATGTATAAAGTTTTACCTATGGACACGAAGGCCTTTGGTCTCTTGAAATGAACTCTAAGAGCAAACTCACCACGACTGATGGAGTCTGAAAAGTAGTGGAAGAGGAAGGGAAATCAGTATCCCTGGAAATTTTACGAAAAGCCTTTGTATCATGGTAAGGACTTCTTGCACAAATTTTCTTGGTAGGTAATGCAGTGGAAAGTCATCATATTATTACTTCCACTTGCCTTCACATCATATATGAGTAATGTTGTTACTCCTATTTTCTCTCCAGTCATATATTTAGCGCTATCCGTAGTTATAGTAGATATATTACTAACTCACATTCATCCAAAGTTTGTGTCAGACTCGAATACAAACTGTTCTTCGTGTTGTACTTTTAAGTGCAAAGACATTGGCTAATTCCTCTACAGTTGTGAAGTCTCTATCAACGCCAGGAATAAAAATGGCTACTTGGCCAGTATCTGTTGATTCATCCATCGCCATAGAATAAAACTCAATTATTTTTGCATATGGATTTTAATTTACTGAACATATCTGTTGCGAGATCCTCTATGCGTTTCGCTACTGTCACTCCAGACAAGGTAATATTCCATATGACTTGAGCCTGTGATGAGCAAAGCACATCAACTGCACTCTGAAGACATTGTTTTACAAATTCTCCATCAGCATAGGTTTTTCCACGCTTAGCAATTTTCTCTGCTATCATGTAACTAACACGAACACTATTTTCAGATTCTTTATTCAATGCGAGGAAGAAAGGCTGCTGAAAATTTAGTTTGATTTAAATTCACACACCTTATCACTTCGAAAATGACCTTCCAATGCAAACTATTTCTCACTGTGCTTAGTATCATAATGTCTCTATATGTTGTATTCCTTCATCACAACTACACAGTTGTTGCAAATAAGGCAAACTACCTTACCCTTATGTACAACAAAAAAATAAATATCTGGCCACTTTTTTTAAAAAATAATCTCACTTTTCTTTCAATTTTTCCTTTTTTTTTTTTTTTTTTTTTGTTTTTTTTGTTATCGCGGCTTGCCGTTATGTACTCATTCAAAGACCATAAACGCTTCTGAATTTTAGAATCTGGAATGGGTAGGAGAAACAGAATTCTGTTAATTTATTCCCCCTCCCCTCTATAGTATCGACACGCTCAAGATCACCTCTGGCGAAGTATTGACGAAAGTTGACATTTGTTGCATACCTGTTAGAAATAAGAATCTAACCTTTTTATGGAATTGAGATTTTCTGCGTAGTCAAATTTTTACTTTTAAAATTACATAAGATAAAGTGAAATTTATGAAAAATTCGTCATTTTCAGAAAATTTTATCTCAAATAATAGAAGGCATGCCAGTAAAATGTTTTAAATATCAAGAATAAGAGAAAAATGTTTTTCTTACGACCAAAAGCTGACAAGGCAATTTTCTTAAAATTCTTCAAATTCAAATGGGGGGCCACTAAAATGCCCTCAGCGGGCCAAAGGTTGAAGAACCCTAGTATATCGTATACTTTAGAGTTTTTAAAGAAGCTAAAGAAATAGAAATAAATTCTGTATTACAGAATTTTGTAATCAGTAAACTGTATGCCTGTTTCAAGTGTCGAGTGCGAGAGAGGATTTTCCACACTGAACCTTAATTTGACAGCCGCAACGCACATCTCTTCATGTTAAAAAAATCTTTCTAATTTAATGTTTATTAGGTGTGTCGGCTCTTCACTCGAAACCTTTTAGCCAGCATCTAGCATTCGTTCGTGTCTAGCAACAGTTCATCATAGCGCCATGAGCAGTCAAAACAGACAAAAGAAATAAAAGCTCGAGATTAGACTACATTGAGGAACATTGTATTTCAGTCAGCTTCTTCATAAAAGGTTAGTTTATGAAAAGGTTTGTTTAGGTATGTTTAGGTTCAACGCAAAAGTGATCGATTGACAGTATTGTAAAATTTAATTTCAGGCAGTTTAAAGCTTATTAACAACTCAATTTAATAAAATGTCAAACTAATTTATTTGAAAATCCGAATTCTGACCGTATTAAAAATTTATATTTTTAATAATATTATCCATTGTTAACTGATATAAAATAGCTCTGTTTGCATATTATGTTTACATTTCATATTTGTAGCATTAATTATAGAAAAGAAAAGTCTTATATTATAGTCTTTCATATTTGTAGTTTAAGAAAAAACTGCGTATTTTGTAATGTATGTGAAAAATATATTCAACATTAATATTCACATTGTAGAGACATAAGGTTTTTTTATGCTGGAGACGTGAAAAAGGAGCAATGCCCTCGCTAGGCCTCGAACCTGAAACTCTCGAATACGCGCCGAGTGTGCTAACCGTTACACCACGAAGGCATGCTGGAAGGAGGAAAAAAATACCTTATTTGCTCCCCCCTTTTAAAGGATGACTGTGGGATTAGGGGACCCAGTCGCCAAATCTTGGTGAAGAATCCTCATCCACCCCCTTTTAGTTCGGGCGCCACTGTAGAGTCATTAGGATTTTTGAAGGCGGAAACACGAAACGTGAGCAATGCCCTCGCCAGGACTCGAACCTGGACCTCTCGAATACGTGCCGAGTATGCTAAACGTTATAAGACGAAGGCATGCTGAAAGGCGGAAGAAAATGCCTTATAACATAATGTATATAAATTTTTGTTACCTTTTGTATTTCCGTGTTTTAATTTGTATAATCTCTCATACGTTTTTAAACACTTAAAAAATGTGAAGCTCAGAAATGTCATTTATGTTAATTTATTTCAACAATTACGTATATTTACATGATTTAACCTTCCTTTGATTTATGCGTAGGAAAAAAATTAACCGAGTTTCCCATATGGCGTAATATAAGAATTATTTCGATAAAGATATGTTATAAATTCAAACTTCGAGTTGCTTTTCTGTATTATTGTATGGTATGTTTTCTAATAAATAATGCAAGTGTTAAATTTTCGAATTTCTTTTTTTTTTTTTTTCACTTTAAAGATCAATACCATTTAATAACAAATTCATTGATGAAATTGAACTTCAGTGATTTAAAACTTGTTAACAATTTAATTTAACAAACTTAGACTCAATTTATCAGAAAACCCGAATTTTTGTATTTGTAAAAATGAACTGTACATCATTCTAAACGTCTGTTATATCTTTTGCCTGAAATAAATAGAAGAGACATCCTTTTGTTCAATTGATATAAAATAGATTGCACGTTTTACCCATGTCACCGATTTGGCGCACCGTTTGACAGTGATATCAAATCAGCGTTCTTAGATTAATATTTCATTAAAAGTTATTATACCTTTGGTAACTGGAAATACTAATGTCTCATCTATGAAATGAGGTGTCCAGCTCTTCAAGATATGAAGACTTTCAATTTGGAAACCTTGTAAGACCTGTTTAGTTGTGTAACTTGTATTAGAAACAACTTTAATCTCTATTGAGTTCTTAAACACTTATTTGGAAAAATTCGATAGCTGTAAAAACATTTGCTTATTTCGTCTCAGAGTGCCCTTTGAATTTCACGAGTTTCATGCACTTGTTTACAAGCCCTTGGTAACATACAACGCATTGAGATTTTGGTTCATTTTAGTTTCCATGTAAGGAAAATCCAAATTAAGAATAACTCATGTCATACTTGCAAAAGTATTTTTCCTTTGAAGGGCTTACGATTACCACTAGATGCCATCATCAATATTACTATCACAATCACAAACAAATTCTGCAATATTAATACTCAATCAAATTTAATGATAAAATCCGGTTTCTTTTAAAGTTTATTTACATTAAAATTTTTGCCTTTTTTCCAATTAAATGGTCAAGAGTCATATGACAGTCACCGAACTTCTGGCAAAGTCTTCCAAAAACTAGGCAGTCTACTAAAATCCGACACACGAACAGAAGTACATTACAAATTAAGCAAATAGATTCACCATCAAACTTTTAACAGGTAATTATGGGCAACCCGAGAGTGACCTATGCTGAGACAAGTTAAAAGAGTTTCCTCCTTCTGATTCCTAGCTGATTGCCAAATATTCCACTCTGCCAGCTGGTTGTCTTTTGTTCCTACATGTTGGGAAACCCAGCAGTAAATAATTTCGTGTCCACGGTTCCTTAAGTTCAGAGTAACTTCCATAGCTAGAGGATTGATTCCGTGTATCAGAAATTTTTCCTAAAACTTATAGCTAACTATACCAGGTCAGTATAAAATATGAATAATTATGGCATAATTTCGAAATGAATGAAAGAGCAGTGAGCAAAGATGAGCAATGAAAGGGCAGTGAGCATTGCGCAATCATGTGCTCTTTATATGATTTCCAATAATAAATTATGCTTAAGAATAAACTGGGAAATCCGAAAGTAGGGTAACTGGTAATATATTTCATGAAATGTTAGTTTTGGGAGAAAAAGTGATAGCTAACAGACATGTGTAATTTCCGAACTGCGAAATTTTCAGCTGCAGTGCAGTTAATTTGAATTCAATTTTTTGTCCTTTTTGGGAACCTAGAAGGACCACAAGGGCAAGCTTGAAGGATCATTTGAGGTCTGAGGACTACGGATAAAGAAATGCTGATCTAGGTGGCTAACTTTAAACACTTAAAAGTTCACTTTCAGTCTTATACAAAATTGGCCTAAACGCTTTCGGAACTCAAACTATGTGTGGAAGTTCTACATAGAAAGACAAAATAGCGAATTCTCGTAATTCTACAAACCTTTTTCCGGTATACCCTGCGGGACATAAACAGGAACCATTCACATGATCGCACGAAGTACGACTGCTACAGTTGCAAACATGCTGACAATCCATCCCAAATGTGTTGTTTGGACACTTCTCGTCGCACCTTTTCCCTGTATACCCAATGGAACAATTGCAGTTCCCTGTACGAGGATCGCACTTTCCTTTTACACACTGGCATCTTCTAACGCAGTTTTGTCCAAAATAACCTAAGGGGCATTTCTTTTCACAGTATTTTCCAGTGTAACCTAAATATTAATAAAAACATAATTAATTTTAAAATAAACAAAAGTCTTGGTCGTGAAATTTCTTTATCGTAAGTCTTGGCTGAGTAATTGGATGAAACATTCGGTAGATTAATATGTGAGATATCTCTTCAGGTGTAAGCCGATGAATCATTTTCTCTCCTTCTTGTTAGCAGCTTTTTATAAGTGTGAATGAATCAACAGCTAATTTTCACTCTTTAAATTTAGGATTCATATGAGATCTCGCATTTTAACATAGTCATTTTCGAATGCAAATTAATCTTACTGTTAACTGCAAAACATGTACCATTTGGTAATTTCTTTGTTGTCACGTTGGCACTGACGCATATTTTTATATTTTCAAGTCAAAAAATGGGACTTAAAAATAATCAGCTTCATAATATAGTATCAGTTTCATTAACATAGTAAAGACTGAATAGATAACGCCTCTTTTTAAGATACGTTTTCTACATTTCAACCCTTTACATCTTCCCCGTGTAATTAAAAAGTGTAACATAGGGACACTTTATTCTTCTAAGACTGGAAGAGGCAGGAGATGAATTCACTGTAAAGCCATCCTTTTGTATTTAATGATTTGAAATCATGAAATTGTGGCCACAATTAATTCTCGGGTAAAATTCGAAATAAAACTAAAATGACAGCATCAAGCCTCTACAGTGAACCTATCATTTTATGCATTAATAGCAACGAAGTTTTAATTCAATGCAAATTTTAATTCCTCTTCAATGAAACTTTAAGTTCGAAATTTTCCATGCATTTAACAATTATTTTAAGTTTCAATAGCAGTTAAGTTAAACACTGCTCTACGATCCCTTTAATTCATATGACATATATCCTTTCGGACCATAAGACAATTTAAATAGAAAGCACACACAACAAATTTAAAGACTAGTGAATGCTAATTGCAATTCATGCGTTGGTGCTTTGAAAGCTGCCTCCACCGATCATTTGTAATGCGTTTGAAAAGGAAGTGGTATTGCTCGGAGGCGAGGCTACGTCGAATCCCATCACTCTCCTTGAAGATAAGTGAAACCCTTCTGTAATTAGATATAATGACTGAGAAACTTTAGAAAATTTGGTATTGTACATTTGCAAAGCAAATTGCCTGTTTATGAAGCGTCAGCGTAGAAAAGTATTGACATTTCAAGTTTTCTATCATTGTCTTCTTTAGATGGCCAACTAAAAGCAGCTAGAGGGATAACTCCCTAACAATTTGTGAAGTAACTTACATGCCTTTAAGTGAGTTTATATTTAAGAAATGAGTATTGGAGTCATAAGTGCAACAAAGATTTTTAAGAGAAAATATTTAAAGCTTTTCAGTTAAAAGATTACTAAAACGCGCAGTAAGATATGAAGTTTGAAACAAAACTATATTTTAAAACTATTAATATATGTAATCAAATGTTCAGAAAACCCTCATAAAAAATCTCATAAAATCGCAACGAAATTAATACAGAAACGTATGAAGTTACGTTTTCTCCTTTTTTTTTTAAGATATTTCCAAATGCGTGCTACAACGCTCCAAGCTGCAACGTTTATGTAAATACTCAGTACTTAAATACTGAATGTGTAGCACTGTCGTTATCCAAAGTAGCCATTACGCTGATCTTTTACGGAATAATCTGGAAGAAAAGGAAGCACTACCATTTTGTTATACTTGCGTAAGATGGAATATTACTTTCCTCTTTCTGGCAGACTTTCAGTTAACATGGAGTAAAAAGCTATCACTCTTAATACGAATTATCACATAGATTACCAGAAGTAAAATCCTGTGAGTTTTATTATGAAGTTAACTTGAAATTACATGCATGCGGAGAACCTCCAGAGTCAGTGGGAAAAAATGCTATGTGATACAGCGTGTCAGTGATTCCTACCGAAAGGCTATTCGTGCTCTTATGTTTTAGTTTGTTTTGAGGTAGCATTGAGTAAGCGCATGTCATCTGCAGCATAATTGTAATTAAAAATGTGCATTATGAATTTCTTTGGACTAAACCTGATTATTGCATATATTTCTATTCTAATAGTATTAAAACGTGTTGAAATGCGGACTTTTTTTAAGTCAACTAACTTCTGTATCAACCCTTATTTGCTTCTTTAAATGCGTAATTTCCTCTTGCATAAATTACTGCTATAACTTATAACTGGTTTAAAAAGCTAATATTCCCTTATAATTTTGTGACTCCATAGAAATGTTTGTTGATACCATAAATTTAACCGCAGTTTAAGACATCATATTTTGAAAATATATGGTGTAATTTAATAAATATATTTCATGTTTCATTACAGATTACTTAGATTGAGTTTAAATTTTCAGTAAAGATTAACTTTACCTGGAGAGCAGCTACATGAGTTATTTTTGGCGATGAAAGTTCCATTATTCTGGCACTGAAAATTTTCTGGAAAAAAAAGAAAGAAAGCACTTTACTTTGAGAAAAAAAGCAACTCTGGAAAAATTATATTTAGATATTTCTGTTATAGCAATAATATGCAAGTTATAGCAAATACACTGGTGTGCAAAACTTAAGCAACAATGTAAATTTTAATCAGATAGCTATAAAAATTGCAGAAAAGGGGTTCTTTTGATCAGTACAATAAATACGCAGTTCAGTAGAAAGGTCATGCGTATGCAAATGTCAGGAACAAAACGTCACAGGCGACGTGAGTGTACACAAAACACGTGCAGTCGGCGCACTCAACTCGAGACTACAATAAAAGGAAGGACGGAGACGCAATTAAAGACATTCGATGCAAGTACAGATGAGTTCTTTCGTGAAATATGGCTAGAAGAAATCACCTGGATAACTTCGCACGTGAAAGAATGATCGAAAAGCTGGAGGAGGAGCATAGTGTCACCAGTGTAGCTCAAGAGTTCGGAATCAACAAAAGTGTCGTTTTGCGCACTTGGAATGCCTTACAAACAATAGGTACAGTTTTTAGAAAGGTTGGTGGTTACCGCCGCAGGAAAGCAACTGCTGTGGATGACCGATATATCGTCCTGAAAGCAAAAAGAGCCCGAAACCAGTCAACAAGCGCTATAGCTCAACAAGTGTGTAACAACAACGGGGCAACAAGTGTCGCGGTTAACTGCGTGAAGATGTTTCCGTATCCAGACGAAGAAGGTAGCCTTTTGCAGAAGGTCCGCCGTTTTGAACGCTGCATCCGTTTGAAAGTTGGCTATCGGCGCCACCGTGATGCAAGGAGCACAAACTTGGATATCTCATCAATGGAGTTTTGTCCTCTTTACGGATGAGAGTCGTTTTAGTGCTACAAGAGATTCTCAACGACAGTTGATTTGGAGAGAGGTAGGGACACGGTTTCATCCCAGCAACATCACGGAAAGAGACCGTTATAGTGGTTCTGGAGTTCTCGTCTGGAGAAGCATTATGCTGCAAGGGCGGATAGAGCTCTACGTTTTCGACAGAGGTTCTGTAACCGGAGAGCGCTATTGTCAGGAGGTAATCTTTCCCCATGTGCATCTGTTCCGAGGTGCCATTGGGGCAGATTTCGTTTTTATGGATGACAATACACGGCCACACCGGACTACTGTTTTTCAGAAGCTACTGGAAAGTGAAGATATCACTGGAATGAATTGGCTACCGTACTTCCCTGATTTAAATCCCATAAAACATGTGTGGGATGCTTTAGGCAGACGCCTTGCTGCACGATTACATCATCCGGGGAACACCCAACAACTGAACAGACGCTGATTGAGGAATGGACTTTCTTACCTCATGATTTGTTGGACAATATGGTGCTGGGTATGAAGCGACGGGGCGAAGCAACCATTGCAGTAAGCAGGAAGGGCATATTCCATACTAAGGAACATCTGTTTGTTGTTCTTCCTCTTGTGCAGACAATCATGTGTAACGATACTATGAGTTCAATAAAGCCTTTTTTTGTTTGATTCCATACTGTATGAATTGTATTCATTTTTGCGCTACTATTCTTTTGTCATCGTTTAAATACAAAATGCTGTCTCTCATTTCTGAATTTCATGTCTCAGATGATTATTTGTGGAGTTATGGCCAAAAGTACACCTGTTGCTTAAGTTTTGCACACCAGTGTAGATTTAAGATACTATTTTAGTGAATCTTGGTTTTTTTTACTATCCGGAATATTCAATAAAGTGATTCATCCTTAAATGAGTCCATTATGTAACTTCAGTATTTTCTACGCTCATAATCATAAATAAACAGCCAGTGCGTCTGAGCAAAGATTTTCCATGTATACATATTCATAATAATTTATAATTGTAATTACCAGTAATTACTAGCAAATAAATTTGGTTATAAATTTGCTAAGAGTAATTAAAATTTTTTTAAATGCTTTAAGAAGCTATTGACAGTGATTTTGGATCATTTAAAAAAGAATGCAACTGTGGTGGTGGCTCCAAAATCTTTCTTCTTTCCTTCAGGATTATTTAATAAATGTGCATTGTATCAATGTGCCCTATCAAGATTCGACGAGCTCTGGACATGCACATTCAGCCTAACCGGCACGCCCCACATTTCTCCTACTGACACCCACACACACTCTGAAAAAGACTCAAGTGTTAAGCCCACACTTTTAACAAGCACTTAGGCAGAGCCGCATTTTGTGTAGAAATACGTAAGAAGGGGCATAACTTTCTTTAGCATAACGTACGAAAAAATTAAGGTAACAAGCAAGTTTAAATCTAGAAATGACTAAAATAATTTCTAACTTTTTTTTTTTCCAATGGCGGGCACTTGCCTATGTAGGCATCGGCCACTCCTAAGGCCAGATGGGGTAGTCTCTTATTATTGAGGCACCCAATAGCCAGCCACCGTTGCTTTTTATGAAGGGACAGACAATTACATCCATGTTTTCTCCGGGGTTCGAACCCGGGCCCTTCGGTATCGCAGGCAGGCCTCCCTAACCACTATACCGCCTAGGCGGCTCACTCCGAAGAAGGGGAAATAGCGAAAACATTGTTATGCATGTTAACGCGGCTAGAAGAGCAAGCAAGATAATACGCTTTGATTAATTTTGTGTCCTACCTATACGTGTTTACTTTGTTCATGTTATCCAGTAAAAATAAAGTGCCGTCAAGTATTATGCAGGCGTTTTAATCATGACGAGAGCCCACGAAACCAAGCAAGAATCCAAAACAAACGAATATCACATGCCCCTTTCCCCAAAGGGCCTTGCTAAAATCATTACACTAGCTTATGCCGGTTAAGTGTGCTGGGCTTCATTCAAGATTAGTACCCCTTTTTTCTATACAGTTCGCTGGTAGTTAGAAATCGATGTCGTATAACTATGGGATACCTTGGATGTGGATGCAAAAAGATAAAATATATTCCTTTTAGTTATCGTTTTCTCGCTTTTGTTATCCTTGTCAAGTGCAGACAGTAACGTTCCAAACGAGGCTGTTAATAAATAAATTTAGAGAGTCGCTAAAAAACAAGTTTCTCGTGTTGTCGTTTAAAGGTTTCGTCTTGGATAAAGCAACACTGTTGTTTACATGTGCAACTACCCTTTTAAAAGTGTTTATTAACTGCATCTCTGCGAATTTTGCACATAACGGTACGTTAAATTTTTATAACTCAACAAAGTGTAATAAATATTTTTTCAGCTGGAATATTAGAGCTACACAAAAAGTCAGATTTCATAATTACAGCACCTTTCCACCCAAATTATTGAACTGTTTTCATACAATTATCTGTATCATTTTAGAAGCTCTGTTACTGATAATGCCTGTCTAAAACAAATAAATAAAATACAGAGTCTGTGGCCTCCTTTTTCGAACACTCTATATTTATACTCACCTACATGCAGGGCATTTATAAAAGATTGTTTTGCTAAATATAGAGTTATTCAAAATGTCCTTCTGGATCTCGATATTTATAGTAAAATAATTAATATATAAACAGAGCTAAAAAATGCATAGCGATACTTAAAGAACAGCTCTAATTTTGCGTAATAGGCCCGGTCACGCAACTGTAGATTTAACCACTAGGTGACGAATCATAACTCTAGACGGCAGTACAATGTAAGCATGATATTCATTGGTGGATGCAAAATTTTATAGAAATTTAAAATTCTCTAAGGAGAGTCGGTTGTGGCAATACAACATCGATTTCATAGTAAATATCAAACTGAAGCACCTACAGATAATTCTTAGGTGGTCACGCAGGCTCAGAGAGACTGGTTGTCTAAACCACGGGTCGGCAACCTTGTAGCTGTAGTGTGCCAAGCCAGTCTACTAATATAATTCAGGATGCCGCACGGTAGAAAACATTTGAAACAATTCGATTCCCGCGGCAATGCATGCGGCATTAGGGAATAGAGGTCAAGAAATACAAATTTATAATTTTACTATATATGAATTATGCATCACTTAATATCGCAATATCAGGTGTATAATGAGCGACTTTCAATTTGACCCATAACTCTGAATATTCTGTTGTTAAACAACTTCTTAGTGAACTCAAAATATTTTTCATGTGAGAAACGATTTATTCACTTAGCTGTGTGGAATAAAAAGTGGAAAGCAGAGCACAGGCAATTTTCTTCACTTAAATATCTCCGGAACTGACATCTAGCAATTTAAAATTGCTGTCGATTTATCGTTATAGTTATCTTCCAGATATTTTCGTAATTCCATAAATTTTATTTTCCATAATTCTGAAGATGCTAGTTCAATAAGTTCCATTTCAAAATTATCAACTTCCATACACTCAAAAAATTAAGAAACAGGACGAGATTATTAAAGGTCTATTAAATCTGATTTGATTAGGAAGGAAAATAAAGGCATACAAGCTTCAGATTCTTTCAATCTTTTGGAAAATTTCTCCTCAAGTGCTTCAACTTAGGTTTGAAGTTCATCTTTATCTAAGGTCGATATATTTGGAAACGCTTTTTATCGACGAAGTATTTTTAGCTACTAGTATTAATAGCACGAAAAAAATGATTTAATTTTGTATCAAAGCCTTTCCAGTATTTAGAAAGTTCAAGCACTGTTTGGCCCTTTCCTTGCAATCGTTATTGCACTGAGATGTTGAGTTATACGAGTCAGAACTATCAATCTACATAACCATTCTTTATCGTTCAATTGGAAGAATTGATTATCTTTTCATTAGAAAAAACTGTAATGTATTCCATGCATGACGCAAACTTATTCAAGGCATTATCTCAACTAAGCCAATAAAAACAGGGTTGTGTAAAGGAAGATCTACATATTCGCTTTCCATTTCTTCTAAAAGAGATTTAAATTGCCTGCGTACCAATGAAGAACAAGACACTATGAAATTAACTATTTTAACAACAGTGTTCATTATAGAAATTAAGCGCTGTGACGAAATTTTGACAACTAAACTTTCCTAACAGCGCAGAGAGGAAAGAAGGGCGATTTATCTTTGCTTTACACTTTGTA